GGGAAGGTGTGTAAGTGTTAGTCGTGTGGGGATGCCCCCTCACGGGGGCGTACGTGTCTTTTGGTGTATTTGTCTGTCTGGTATATTGTTTGTCGGGGGTCGCAATTTTAAAGAAATGTATTCTAAAGTAATGCAAATAACTGATAAATAAGTAAAAACTTACCTGGGCATAACCCCGGCACAGGTGCTGTAACAAAGATGCCGACGGCGTCTATGCTTAAGCCGGGGATTAGGTCGGTGATTAAAAGGAAAGAAAGGGATTCTTTCCAGGTAGCCTTAATAAAGGCAGGTAGAAATTGCTCCTTGCACAACACTTTCACAAAACACGTGTTCTCTGGTCGGCTGCCCGCTAGGAACTGAGTCAGAAGACCGAACTAATATTTCTTAAAGTTATATGTACAAGTATGTCTTAAAAGTTTATGTATACTTTTATATAGTTTTATAGATGGCAAAAATTTTATTAAATATGTAAAAAATTAATAGAACTTTTAATACAGGGTAGATCGTGGGAAGGAAATAGAATGCAGGATCATTGGATTGTCGGGTTTGATGAATTTAAAATTAACGTTACTTATACAGGGTCATTCATTTTTAAATGCACAAACGAGGGTTCAATAAAAAAATTATTGTCAGTTTTAGTAGCTTAGAGAATATACGTTCACTTGGAACAGATGTAGCCACGATAGATAAAAGTTTTATTTGCTAATATTGACATTGTAGGATATTTCGAGCCTGTGGTTGACTTTTGCGGGAAGTCGGTGTAGAAAAAAAGCCGCATATCCTACCGGTCGGACTATACATGTAACTGTACTCAGTAACGAATACAAAGTAACGAGTACTCAAGATAAAAGTAACGAATACTCGGAGTACTAAAAAGTAACTGTATATGATATCACTATCGGACACGAGAATCAGTTGAGACCGATTCATTCCCCTATCGTATTGATGCGATGATGCGAACATACGAAATTATTCTTATACCGGTATATGTATGAACTGATTAGCCGCGCGCCGCCATTATTCTATGGCTAGAAATTGGCCTCAATGATTTGGGATCGAGGGGGGTTATCCCTCTTTATCCTGCCTCATCTCGTGTAGGCCTGGACAGCCTTCGTAGGTGGGCCCCATCCGTCGTCTACCCCGACCGCAAATGCGGCCGGTGTAGGCGCTTTGTGGGACCTCCTTTTGTCCTGGCTGGGCCCCGCCGGCTAGGGCCCTTTCTTCTGGCGCTCTTCTTGCTTCGCCGGCTCGTCTGTGTAAACCCCGGGGGTAGTGTCATGTTTATGTGTGGTATGGTTGGGTAGGGTAGTGCGGCTATGCAGCCTGGGATGCGCTTTGCTAAGGTGGCCCTTAGGCTAGCGCGGGATACTGATTAGCGACTTCATCAAGAAATTGGACAAGTGTAATGCACCAAATCAGCTGTCAAATAACTTCATCAATTTATTCATCAAGTTCTTGACGAATTAGAGCATGTTCTAATTTTCGTGATTTGTTATTTACAAAAACTAAAATTTATATAATATGTGTCAGAACGGTACCGCTGTTGTATCACTACAATTATGAGTGAAAAAGCGACATTTTTGAAATTTATTTGCTTCTTTGATTCATTGGTAGAACTGATTCATACGTCAAAAAATTTGACAGTCTGTAGCAGTGGAAAACCACACTGTTTACCAATTAATTCGTGAAGAACTTCGTCAATTTATTGATGAATAAATTGTCAATGTAAAACAGCTATAAGTGGTAATTTAATGAAGCAACGTGTTTGAAATTTTTTATTTTTTTTTTGTTTTATAAAAGTGGCCCGGATCCGGATTATCACTTTGAGGAGTTGGTCACCTCGATAAAGATGATTTTATGTTTTTACAGATTTACGTAATTTTTCAGTATTTGTTTACTTTCACTTGTGCTTATATTGATCAAGGTGAAGGTCCGTACGAGCATATTAGCCAGTTAATCTTTGTTGAGTGTTTGCTTCGCACTCTACAGTATTTGTATTGTTACAAAATTTGTATACAAATAAAAATTTTCAACAAATATGCTTTTAAAAGCTGTATTCCTTTTCAGTTTGCTGGTTATTACCATGGCTCAACTAACATTGGAAGAAAAATGGACCAGTTTCAAGGTATGGTTATGATTAAATGTTATATTCAGTGATTACTGTAATTTTTAAATTTTAGAACGAGCATGGGAAATCTTATGAAGCCGAAGAAGAGGCCAAGAGATTTGCAATTTTCCAAGAGAATGTGAAGAAGATCGAGGAACACAACAAAAAATATGACGCTGGGGAAGTGACTTACAAACAGGGCATCAACAACTTTTCGGATTTGACTCCAGAGGAATTCAAGAAATTTTCAGGTGGCTTCAGAATACCGAATTAATATTTTTTAAAGTTATACGTACAAGTATGTCTTAAAAGTGTATGTATACTTATATAGTTTTATAGATGGCAAAAATTGAATTAAATCTGTAACAAGTTAATAGAACTTTTAATACAGGGTTGATCGTAGGGAGGAAAAGGAATGCAGGATCAATGGATTGTCCGGTTTGATGAATTTAAAATTCACGTTACTTATACAGGGTCATTCAGTTTTAAATGCACAAACGAGGGTTCAATAAAAAAAGTAGTGTCAGTTTTAGTAGTTATAGGCTTTATCGGTTAAACACCTTAAAAAAATATATAGAGCAGTGAAATATTGCAACTTTTTATAAAGTTTTTTCTTTTTCTCAAATTAACAAATATCCAAACCTATAACGATAAAGCGTGGAGTCGTTGAGCAAACTTCATAAGGTTAATGTTATTTTCGCATGGAATTACAGAGTTTAATGAACAACACGTGACACTGTTCGTAAAAAGTGCTTTTTAAGATTCAGGAGGTCTACTCCTGAGAGGTTCTTATTCTGTTGCCGTTTCTCTGAAATTTTAAGAATTTTGGGCTATTTCCGTCTTCTTAATTGGGAGTGGACAGCTTGTTTCATGTTTTTACGTTTCAATATCTTGGACGACACATGTTTGTGTGTGCACGTGTAAAAAAATAGCAGTAAGAAAAAACATTATTGGTTAATTCCTTGGTTAAGACGCAGCAATAGAATTTTTTACTGAAATTTCACTTTTCCACACGTACAGGGTGCGGGAGAAAATGTTTTTTTTTCTCTGAAATTTAAAACACATTTTAGGGTGGCATCGGGTAAAATATCATGTCTATCTGTAGCCTTACTTTTTCTGAACAATTTGTTCTTAATTTGTCATTATCTCCGTTATATAGAAAATTTTTTGTAAAAATTGAAAAACTTGAAATCTGATGCTAATAACAATAAAAAATCATGAATCTGCCTCCGTTGACTCCGATGCTCAAAGAAATATGGAACGATCTTAGTCAAAACATAAAAAAGTGATATTTAGAAAAGTTTAATTATAATACGTACCCACTAATTTTTAGATTCCCACGGCCCTTTTTGAAATAACTCGTATTGGCAGCATGCACAATGACCTGAGTAAAGAGGAAAACCGCACCACCTGTCGTAACAATTTTTTAAATAAAAATCCGCTGTTATATTACATAAAAAAAATCACATTTGTACGTTTGTTGTAAACTATAATATAGATCCAATTCAGGAGTACCTCAAGGCTCCAACCTGGGACCCCCCTCGTTTCCTTGCTTTTATCAATGACTTACCCGACGTAATCCTTGAATTCTACGTGCAAACGACGCAATTCGAATCGAAATCCGCCGTATTAAGTCCCGCTTTGAAATTTACCAAGACAAAACGGAGTAAAGCGTATATTTCGTACTTGTACAGATTCACAGCCAATATATCACAGAGATATGATTCGCAGGGAGAAAAAACTCACATTATAACTGCATGGCGGTCTTCATGATTCCAATCATCGCATATTCGACTTCTAAGAAGTACGCCGGGTTGGATCTCAACTCGTCCAGTTTTTTCTGTATTGTAAAACCGGGTTGTGCTGAAAGTGTAATGAACTTTATAGAAGCGACTCTCGTATCACTTACGTTGACCCTCGACGTCTAAAATTTGGAAGGGAAATAATAAAAAACGATTTCGGTGGTTATCTAAAACAATTTTATATATTCTTCAGTTTCCACAGATCGGTAACATTTTAAAAGGAGAATCGATAAAATACGACGTGATATAGTTCGATCGTAATAAATAGTTATGTAAATCATACGTAAAAGCCAAATAAATAAAACTAAACGAGGAAATTTTGCATAGCTTAATACCTACTACACATCAAGCTCAAAAGGCGAGCATATAATTACACTAGGTTCAACTTTTTTAGAGTTGCAGAACAAAATTCCGCTAAGCTTCGTTCTGCCTCATAAAAATTCTATAATACTTTTCCCTAAGCGCTTAGCCGTACAACGGATCGACGAGGACGCGATCCTCAATACTCATATACATGCCTTCCTCCTCGTACGTCGAGTCGTGCTTGGCCAGGATACGCAACAACGGACGCAACTTCAACCACCACTGCTCCTTCGGGATACGCTGCCTGAAAGGGAAACGATTAATAAGAAAAAGTCTCCCACATCCAACAAGTTCACAAATTGCCGCTTGCAGAATCGCTGTTACAGATGCCGTACCGGGTATTTTTATTACAAACAAAATACGTAGAAGTTTTTATGTAAATGCAAATGTCGAATTCTATTGCTTACTCGAAATTAGTTTCCTCCTTCAACGCGTGCACCGACGTGCACTTGTACTGCCTCTTGACGATGCCTAAAAGGCAGACGGTGTTCTGATCGCCGCAGCTGACCTTACCCTCCTCGTCGGTGTTGTTCTTCAACTGGCACACCAGCCAGTCCACCGCCTTGGCGGCCATCTTGGTGCCGAGATTCCTGTCGAAAGGGGTCGGAGACCCGCCCTGTTGCATATGTCCTGAAAAAGAGGGTAAATCGTGGGTACGGTTTAACACTCTATTTTATAGGTGTGCCATGCTTGAGCTCTGCTACCACGAATCTCAAAATAACTGTGTTTATATGACGAACACTGTATTTTCAATTTCTTACCATCTTTTGATATTTGACATTGTTGATTCGGATGACCTAGACGGCTTAGTGCTCATCGTAGCTAAGAACGTCGATCGCTAGGAATAAAACTGAGAGAAAGACTCAAATGGAATATTCTTGTGAAGAATGAAATAATCAAGAAATGAAATAATCAGAAAGGGAAAAATGAAAATCGAAAAAAATTTCAGCTGTGACATCTCTAGGAATCGCTTATACAGGGTGTATTATTAAAAACAACCATTTGAGGGAAAATAATGTCGTATACAGAAAACGCTATTTTGACATTAATCAAAAACATTAATTCAATTATTACGGATCATAAAATTAGGGGGAAAAAAACCTTTCGATTATATTTGTTAGTATCAGGACATAGTAATAAAATATGTAAGTAATTCCTAAGAAAAGTCAACAGTAGGACGCTCTGTAATTGTGGAAATTCCAACAAAAATTGAAAGGATCTTCATTTCGTAATTTACTTACTTATGAAGTGTATATCGCCAGAACTGGAATGTGTAGTGTATAATACAACCATAATACCAGGTGTACCAATATTAATGCAACAAAATTTTTTATTTTTATCAAGTGGCCTCCTCTTTCGGAGTTTCGGCCCCCTGAATAATTTTTTTTTTATATCTCACAACCCTGTTGTACGAGAATCACTAAATTTGGTAAGCAGAGGTTTTATGTCATGTGGAATCTGATAGTGCTATGCTTTTGGGAAGGGAACCCCCTTAAGACACTTTTTCGTGGCCCCCCGATTTTGTAGCCAAAAAAAAGTGTTCGAATATTTCAATTTCTTAAAAATTATCAGTCCACTAGAAAGCCATTAAATTTAGAAACTTTTTTGTCCCTTGATATTTTTTTCGTAAAACCCGATGTTTTTGAGAAAAATGGCAAAGCGTAATTGAATGCGTATCGTAATTCGTATGAAATTCTACGCGTTAATCGTAGGTTGCTGGCGTTCACAATTACCAAACTTTATTTTTTGACCAGATATCAGATTATTATCATTTCTGTGTTTGTCGAAAAAATGGCGAGATTTTCCACAACGAATACATCCATATCATTCGATGTTTCCGCGTGTACACTGGCAACTTATGGAGACGGGTTCTGTAATTTTAATATGCAGGAAGACGTCGTTGGTTAACACTATCAAGAAGGAAATATCTTGAATTTAATTGAAGAAAACTCATTGGCAATATCGATTTCCAATTAATGTTGGGTTAGAATCGTGGGAAGATGGCATTATTGGACCACATTTCTTGCCCCCTGGCCACAGAAACTTACGTTCATTTCATGGAAAATAATTGTGAATTAAAAAACAAACACAAAAACCGTTTCATTAAAATTTCAAATTGTTTTTGTGAAGTTTTTATTAACATTTCGGTTCTTAACATTAAATTTATTTAGAATGTCATACAAATCACGAAATACATTAGCGTTTTACGAAAAAAATTCAAGGACTTTCTAGAAGATTAATAATTTTTAAGAAAAAATATGCGACCAAATTTTTTTGGCTCCAAAAAAGGAGGTCTACGAAAAAGTGTCTTAAGGAGTTTCCTCGCCAAAAAGCGTAGCACTACCAGATTGCACACGTCATAAAACCCCTGTGTACCAAATTTAGTGATTTTCGTACAACAGGGTTCCGAGAAATATAAAAAAAAGACTATTTTCTTAGGGGCGGATGTCAAGGAACTTTAACTCCAAACGAAGGGGCCACTTAGCAAAAATAAAAAATTACGGGTCCCTTAAATTTGTTCTAAGATTCTGTGACCAAATTTTGTTGCATTAATTTTGGGACACCCTGTATTTAAGAATACACATACGGGGTGATTCAAAATTCAGTACAAAAAATTTTGTGGCGTATTTTTAAGGTCAAAACAAGAATTTTTTCCTATGAACGTGTGTCCACAAATGCTTAATTTTCGATATACGGGGTGTCAAAAGTTTTTTATTTTTTTCGATTTTTTAGGAATAATTTCCAAATAGATTTGAATGTACGCATAAAACTTGGGGTACGGAGATATTTTAGGATGGTTAATTTAAATGTGACTGGTTTTGACACTGCTTGTAGAGGGCGACACTTTTAAGGGTACGCTTGAATTAAATTGACCCTAACTTTAAGCAAAAAAAAAAATACTTGGTCAAAATATCTCAGATCAACCCTTTCCGAGATATTGGCTGGATAAGTACCATATTAACTATGTATTTAGAGAGAAAAATTTGAAAATTTATTTTGGACACAATTATAGGAAAAAAAAGTCTTATTTCGACCTCAAAAATTCGCCCCTAAATTTTCTGTACTGAATTTTGAATCGGCCTGTATGGAAATATAAGGCGTCGATTAAATAGCACACTTGAGTAATAAAAGGGTATACAGGGTATAGCAAAAGTACCGGAACGGCAGAATAACTCGGCGGGAGAGCATTTTAGACAAAAATGTTAAATACAAAAGTTTCAGGATTTCTCCCTGGCTATTCGATGGTGACCTTGAAGATCATTTCAAGGTCAAATGTGATTTTTCAAATGGGACCCTATACTTTTGACCCCAAAAATGAAAAAATCGGAAAATTTTACGTTCAGATATGACCTCAAGTGACCCCTTCCTTTTGACCTTGGGGCCCCCACAAGATCAAACTAACAAAAGTACAGGAACGGCAGAATAACTCGGCGGGAGAGCATTTTAGAGAAAATTTTTTCTCTAAAGTGCTCTCCCGCCGAGTTATTCTGCCATTCCGGTACTTTTGCTACACCCTGTATATAATTCTGAAACAATAGTTATTTGAAATATTTAAAATGCCATATATTGCAATCTATCACGATAACACACACTGAAAGCTTCATAAATTTTGCCTTACCTAAAATATTCATCCGACTACTGAATCCACTTTGCTGTCCATCTGCGCGTTCGATTTTTTTAATGTTATTAAGCAAAGAATTATTAATATTGCACCATAATAATTTCAACAATTTCCTTATAAGTAAATTTATTGTACCAGTTTTCCATTAAAAAAAAAAAAATGAAGTAAACACGGCTCCGATGAAAAGTTAGTGTTAAAAGCTGGAAGCGTACGCAAAGCACCGTTTTACTTCACTTTTCAATTTTTTTTCAAGGCCGTCGCAAAATACTTTTCCCGGTTCCGCTGTAACAACCAACGTACTCACCTAAAATATTCATCCTAGCGCTAAAAAGCCCCTTCCCCTCCTCCGAATACAAGCGATAGATAAAATCGGTGTTGTAATTCTCCGACGCCTTTTCGTTACGAAGAATGAGCCCCCTCTGGACCCCCTCCGACATCTTAGTGGCCATATGGTAGACGTCCTGTTGCAGATCCTTGATCGTGAACTTCTCCTCGTAAATGTATGCCGCGTCCGCTCCGCCGGCGAGACCTGCAAGGTATGTTTGTTAGACGATACGAAAAACTCCCTCTTCTTTTATCCGTACCGGCTAGAGTAGCGAGATATCCGCAGTAACCGCCCATAGTCTCGATGACGAACACCCGTCTCTTGGTACCCTGGGCGGATTGCCTGATACGGTCGCATATCTCGGTGATCTCGTTCAGGGCGGTGTCACAGCCGAGGGAGAATTCGGTGCCGGGCACGTTGTTGCTGATGGTGCTGGGGATTACCAGGATCGGGATCCTGAAAGCGGCGTGTTCCTCGCGGTTCTCGTACATCTGGAGGGCCGCTTGGAAACCCTGAAAGTTTACTCGAATAGAAAAAAGGGAAGCGGAAACGTCTCGTGTTTACCTCGAAACCACCGATGATGAGGAGGGCTTGGATCCCGAACTCTTGAAGTCTCGACGCTACTAGTCCCATACGGTGGCCCGGTAAGGTACGTTTAGTACCTAAATAGGCGCCGCCGTGGCTTACCCAGCCGGTAACGTCCGACCAACCTGGAAATATTTACGTCAGCACGTTGGCAAGGCGTTATACCTTGAAAACCGAAAGAGAGACCTAGGTTGGCCCCTTACACCCTACGCACAACCTCAAATTTACGAGTGACATTAATAAACACAAAATTTTACGGTTTTTCACAAAAACCACATTCCGTTTATTTTTTTTCAATTTTTCTGTAACTTAGATGTCTGTTTTGCTTTTCGAAACATCGAGCGGGCGAAATTTAAGAGGAACACCCTGTATATTTTCAAAAAAAATCGTTAGCGAGTCTAGAGATTCGACTTTACTTACTCATATGCTTGACGTAACCGGCAAGCAGGCCATCGATCCCATCGTGGATCCCGAGGACGGTGTCGCCGCGGTAGATGCAGTTACGTACGAAGGAACGTACCGCTGCGTTCATGCCGCAGGCTGGAGCGCCGATGTGCATCACAGCCATTGTGTACCCTTCCTAAAAACGTTACGAAAAATTTACAAAATTTTTTTAATTTGATTGTAACGCTCATAAAAGATTTTAACACATCTTTACAACATCCGTACATTGTACTTACCCTGTTCAATCATTAACAATGATAAAATTTGTAATTCAGCTCTAGCTCTATTCAAAAAGTTATTTTGCAAGTAAATTGTAAAAGAGTGACCGCAAAAAAGGCCATTTTTCCGCCTGTTTTTGACTTTGACAGAGACGACGGGGAAATTACTAAAAATATTCTAAAAATATCCAAATACTCGTCATGAAAAATGAAAATGAGCGTCACATTCAGTTTTTCGAAAATTTTCGAAAATCACCCTTATTTAGGGGTTGAAAAGATAAAAAATGTGAAAAAATTAAGAATCATCAACAGTTGTAAAACCCCAAATATTTCTATGTTGTTATCAAAATAATATTATGAACGTGAAAATATCTAATTTCGTATTTGATACGGTCTTGTCCGGATTGAAAATTAACCCTTAATATCCCTAAAGGGGTAAAATCATCCCCTAAACGCCTAAAAATGCAAAATATATATTAAAAGTTACAATTTTTTTTCTTTTTCTTTTATACGTGATAATTGAACCGTTAATAACCCACAATCACTAGATCCGAAGGAAAATGAGGGTAAAACCACCCTTAAGTTCAACCATCGGCTTCAAAGTACATAAAATAATTATAATGCATGAAAAAAATAATGTTTCGAAATACATTCATTAGAATAATTTATACACAAGTACTCCCATGCATTATCAATCATTTTCAAAAATAATCGTCCCTCTCAAGGGGTAAAATCATCCCCAAAATACACAAAAATTGTAAATAATGTGAAAAAAAAATTAAAAATTTGTTTATTATCATACTTGATGTTTGACACGTGAATAAATTGAACTTTTAATATATTTTTTACATTTTTAGGCGTTTAGGGGATGATTTCACTCCTCTAAGGGTTGATTTTCAATCCGGACAAGACCGTATCAAATACGAAATTAGATATTTTCACGTTCATAATATTATTTTGATAACAACATAGAAATATTTGGGGTTCTACAACTGTTGATTCTTAATCTGTTCACTTTTTTGATTTTTCAAAAACTTAGTGAGTCTCAAAAACAGGCGGATTTTGCGGTCACTTTTTGTTTTACATTTACCATCTTGACACCGTATCAGGATCAAAAAATTGCCCAAGTTATTGTGGGAAATTTCTTAGCGCCAATAAATTGGCCAAGAAATTGCAGACAACGAAGCTAGCTCTATTTTGTCGATCAATTATACCAAGTATTTTGTTGGGTTGAACTTCCTATCGGTGTAAAGTCAAATGCATTAAAGAAATCAACTCTTACAGCTGCCATACCGGGTATTTTTATTACATCCAAATTTTCATGTCCGTCTGTTTCAATGTACGTAACCGACAGATAGATTATTATCGATTGTATTATCGTATGTGTTGCATGAAAGAGGAAGCTGAGATTAATACTCGAATATGGTAGAATTTAAGTGGAAAAAAATTGTCGATAATCGTATTTCAACGCCAGTAAAGTAAAATACGTCGCATTTTTGCAATCGTCACAATTTTTATTGGGTCGGAAACTGGTAAATGTAAAACAAGTCCAAATTTCTTATTAATTACTTGAAAATATACAAATTATTTCAAAAGAACATTTTGAGTGTGAGAATTTTGAGTGTGGAAGATCCATTTGTATGACTTCTAGAGACATGCATATTTTTTTATTGCAAAAATATCGCTGCAAGGGAATATGGTTGTTTTTAATATGATTAGTAACAGTTTGTACCTAAGACTATCCGTATTCAGAAAAAAAAAAAACATTAAATGAAGGTCGGAAACACCCTACTTCAAGTACGAAGCCGCAACTAGAAAAGCGAGTAAATAAAAAAAAGGTTTCAAAGCTTCTAAGGAAAACGTACATATTACACTTATTACCCATTTATCAGCACCTAGCGTTATTTCATCGACGTTTTCTATAAGCAGAGAAAAGACGAGGGCACAATTAAACTAAAATTAAAAAAAATTGTGATCTGACGATCGAAAAAAAGCGTAGCAGTGTACAAACTATTGTGTGTGTACTGAAAAGTAAGATCGTGTGCAAGAACGTACAATTTTTTTTATACTCACCGAACGGCACATTGAATCTTGCTAACAAAAATAAATAGAAATAGGTTAGTATATATCGTTTCAACTATGCGGACTTAGATGTCGCTCGATTTAAGCAAGAGTGAAAGGACAAATTTACGTTTTTTGTTTCGCGAAATATCCGCCCGTCTCCTTAATAAACAAAAATAAACTAATATATGCCAGTTGTCCCTCATTTACGTAATGTTTCTTTGAAATTTATTACACGGAAATCCATCACGTATTTTTAACAATACAGAAAAAAATTATTATGTTTACACGAGGCAATTAGCATTTATTGAGACAATACGTCTAGAAGCCTCTTTCACCGTCGTTCGTTTATATTCCACGTTAATTTTTTTCTTACGAGTAACATCATAAATGAGAGAGTGACTTTAATACAAACGGGATAAGTACCTTATTTAAACCAGCCTTGCAAGCATAAAAAAATACAGTAGTTTAATATTAGTCTCAAGAGAATCATGTAAAGAAACATGATTGTTTTTTAAGCCGTCGTTTTCCTATTAACCCCACACCGAACCCAAAAAAGTAAGCAAGTTTTTTAAGCAACAGAACCCGTTTGAAATAAATCGTAAATATCCCTGCGAAAAATCTTATCGTCATATCGAGCAAACCCCTAAGAAGTTAGTTTTTTATTTTTATATATTAACGGGATGTTGAATAAGTTCTCGCTGCTTTCCAACAGATGGCGTTACCGAAACTGCTTGAAATTCAGTGTACGTTGTTTCGCTGAAGTGTAAACTACTTTTTTTCCCATAGTGTTAAAAATGTCGAATTTCTCGTCAAAAAGAGTATTTACAGGGGATTTTATTGCACTACTTTATTCTGCAGACGTCGAGGCTTACGGCAACAATGCTCTGTCGCAACAACATGCAAAAACTGGTTTAGACGCTTCAAAAATAATGATTTTGACGTTCCGACGCACCGAAACAGTTTGAAGATGAAGAATTGGAGGCTCTACTTCATGAAGACTCATGTTCTGAACTTGCAGAAGTTGTTGGCGCAACAGTTTCGAAACGTTTGAAAGCGTTAAGAATCATTCGAAAGCAAGGACATTGGGTGCGGTACGAGTTGAAGCCGAGAGACGTCGAATGGCGTCTTTGCACGTGTGAACAGCTCCTTCGATGGCAGAAACAAAAAAATCGTATCGTGGGTCGTCTCTTGGATCGCCTCAAAAGAAAGATGGGAAAAAGTAGCAATACTTTCAATGACGTTTTTTACTAATTTTTTTAAAGTAAAGCATTAATTTTCGTGAAAAACCAGGGAAAACTTATTCAACATCCCATTAGTTTCCGCAAAACTGTTATTTGAAAAACGTTCTTACTTCTTCGAGTTCTATGTTTTGTTAAACGGCAAGTTAAAACAACCTGTATACTGAATAACTTACAAATTTGTAAGAATCAAGGCATGCATCTAGAAGATTTTTCTTTTAACCCATTAACGCCCAAAATTACGGTATTCGTAACTCATTTTCAAGCTGAAATAAAACGTTCATCATTTTAATCTCGTTTTTTTTATATTTTGGATTACGTTGAATCAAAAATTCAAAATGGCGGATCCAATATGGCGGACGGGATATTGAAAATTTTATAATTTGCAGATTTGTATTATTGTAAAACCTGTTTTGACAAAAATCATTAAAAAATATAGACCGAGAACAAAAAAAAAAGATAAAATCTGGAAAATCACAAAAAATACATAAATTTTTATAAACTCTAAAAAAAATATAGAAAATAACGAATGAAATAAGATTTTTTTGACTTGCAAATTATACAATTTTCAATATCCCATCAGCCATATTGGATCCGCCATTTTGAATTTTGATAATCCGTCACCAGATTTCGATTCAATGTACTCCAAAATATGAAAAAATGAGATAAAATAAACGTTTTGAAACTCGTGTTTTTCCTAGTTTCCTGACCGCCATTACTGAGATCGTAAAATGCATTGAAAAAGAACCGAGAATGATCAATCAAACAAAATTTTACACTTTGAGGGAAAACATTTCGTTCAATGTCGATTTATATCAGAATTATTTAGAAAAAACGCATATTTTTCGACATTTCTACCATTTTCCGCCATTTTGAAAAGGGTAAACCAATTGGTACTAAGCAAAAAAAATGTTTCCGTAAACGACAACTATTTTGCCCACCTTTACCCACAGTTCCGAACACAACTTCATCTTTTTTCGGCTTGAAAAAAAATTACAATTTTTCGGTACCGTTTCACAAAAAAAATCCGCCATTTTGTTTTTTTGAGACATGGAAATGCAATTTCGACCTCAGGAATCGAAAGAGTACACTCAAAAATAGTAAGATAGGGAAGTTTGATCAAGATATTTTACATTTTTTGATTTGTCAGTGAAGCTTGAAAATGGGTTACAAATACCGTGATTTTGGGCGTTAATGGGTTAAGTAACATTTAAAGTATATAAGACGGAAACAAAAACAAAACGTCCACAAATAAAAAATTAAATTACAAAACGAGCAGCTTCACCGGTCGATTCTCGAACAAATCACCCGTCGAGTAAATAAAACCGACACAAAACAAATATGTACTTACTTTTCCCTTGCCCTTTTCATTGAAAGCTTCCTTCGGTGGCTTCAGACGGGTCAAAAGCTTATACGTTTCCAAATTACGCATGAAAGATTTCCCGCGGAGTTGAACCGCTTTCTCCCACTGCTTATCGGCCATAGCCTAGAGAAAATATACAAGTTGGTGCAAGTATAAGGATAAACGTTTGATTTGATGTTTTTCCCTACAATATCCGTAATTATTACGTCACGATATTCTTCAGGAGTACAAGTCGCCATTGTTACACCTTTGCATCACAATTTTATCTAACATGTAACATTATAAGACATTTAGCTGTGAAATACCTGAGCTACGGCCTTAGTCTGCTTGACGCACTGCATCAGAGGAACTCGAACGGCCTGGTTGCCATCCAGGGAGATAACGCACGGTTCGGCCTTCTCGTCCGCCTCCATCAGGGCCATTACCGCCTCGGCACCCATCCTCGATCCCTGAATTCATTAAAATCACCAACGAAATCAAGACAACGTTCAAATATAATTACCAAAATTCTGTCAAAAGCGGAAGGACGTCCCCCTCGCTGAACGTGACCCAGCACGGTGATCCTAGTGTCTTGGTGGAGGTTGTCCACCACTACCTTCTTGATCATTTCGGCGGTGATGGGCTGCCCATTTCTATCGATGGCCCCCTCAGCGACGATTATTATGTTCAGTCGTTGACCCGCGGTTCGTTCCTAGGTACCGAAATTCGAAAAAAAAGTCAGTTTCGGGGAACCGTACGCTTAAACGTTTGGTATGTGAAAGTTACTGGACAAGAAGCGTGTGAGTAAGCATGCACTGCATTTGTAAAGACGTACGTTTCTGTATTCCTACTACCGGAAGAAAATGTAAAACCGTAATTTTGCCACACTAAAGCAAACACAACATTCAGCTAAAAAAAAAATTTATCATATCACAAACGTTAAGGAAACCTTGCGTAACAAATGATGGTCAGGCTTTAGTCAGCAGAGTAGTTGTTTCTTGCAATGTCATCAGTTAAAAAAGGTTTAAACACACCCAAACATTTCACAGAAACTTCCTTATCGTACGGTTGATATAAAAAAAACAGTTTTACGTATTATTAACATACGATTAACGACGACTATAACGTCTAAAGATGCTGCTATTTATAAAAATTGCTCTAAAAAAGAAAAAAACGTGTTGGGTGTACGTGGGTTGTAAAATACCTGCATTATCTTTTCGCAAAAAAAATCTTTCCAATCGGGATGCACGGGATCCTCCGGAACGAAAATATAATCTGCCTCACAGGTTATTCCAGCTACTAGGGCCAAATAACTGCAATTTTTTTATAACCCGCATTAGATCTAGATTATATACAATTTGTACACCGTTTCCGTGTCGGAATAATAGACGTCAAGTCCGAGAATTGCTTTATATTTAAATTATTTCCGGTTGTGATAAAAATTAAATAACACCTAATACGCCATTACCCAATTAGAAGCCAGCGCATAAAACATATTGTCTCTGAAATAAAACATGCATAAAACTGAACGACTACCGATTAAATAAATTAAAGGTGCAGGAAAAGAGCAAACAGCACAGGCGGCGTTCAAGCTAAGAAGGAAAAGTGCGTAAAACATTTAAAAAAAAGTCCCACAATAACCACGAGTGTAATCCACCGATATATACAAGATAGAATATTCGCCCGTAAAGGTACCTGCATTAGCTTCTTGCAAAGAACGTCTTTCCAGTTGGAATCGGCCGGCCACTCTGGAATAAAAACAAAGTCCGCCTCTCCAGTCAACGCCGCAACCAGTGCTAAGTAGCTGGAAATCGTCTAACTACAGTGTATGCAACGCTATTACATGGTATATAGACCTTGTTGTCTACTTTTATGGAAAAACAGGTTTCGGAACTATCATAATGGATAATAAAGTAAAACCGAATTCGAAGCGTTGCGCGAAAACCTAAAATAGAAGTAATTCCACTTTAATACGTCACGCTATGTTTTTATTCACTTTTTTGTACGCGTCCTTAAAAGCTCATATAATAGCTGCATATTTGTAAAGAGTTGAAATTAAAGAAACGCTACAGCAAATCATTGTTTTTAAAAGATCCAGTTTGTTAAAAAAAAAACATCTTTATATTTTTGGGGCGAAAATAATGGAAAATTCCCAAATTAAATTTTTGACAAGATGTAACCTACAAAGTATATGTCACATCTTAAATGTCATTGCTACTCAATGCCTACTGACGCGAAGTATTGCGTTGTACCTACTGGTATCGAATGACCTACTAATGGCTATAGGGAAGGTTTAGGCCTTATAGAAGTACAACTTGTTTCGCATAGGGCAAAACAACTTTTTATTATTATTAAAAAGTTTATTTTGCCTAATGCTAAACGACTTTTGCATTCATAGCACCTACTTATTAGTAGATCATTGTGTCAGTAGGTACAAAGCTACGCCTCGAGGCAGTAGGCATTGCATGGCAATGACATTTGAGATACATTTACTTTGTAGGTTATATCTCACTCAAACTGCGATGTTGCGATTGAAATTCAATGCTGCGGAGCAGTCGTTTCCAATATCCTTAGTTAAAAACGACTCGTGCGACTTCATATGTCATAAAGAGTTCAGCATGTTAGTCAACAGTATTAATCAGTCAAAGCTAAATGATGATGAATACAAGCAAAAATACATGACAGCGAATCGAGGTCGAGTATCGATTTATGGGACGTTAGCTGCAAAACTCGTGTACGAACGAGAACGATCACTCCTGTACCTGATCTAATTTTGCGCATAGGCGCTTTTGCCAGTCATCCGGCGGCGGCGATTCGGGGATAAAAACGTAATCGGCCTCCGAAGTTAAAGCGGCAACAGTTGCCAGGTACCTGTTTTCGAAAGGATTAAGAAAAAAATGTGAGTAGACAACGAAGGCACGTTTCAAAATGACGTCTCTTACAGACAAAGTTTCGCTAGTGTAAATCAATCTTACCCGCAATGCCGGCCCATAACTTCCATAATGAATGTTCTTTGATGGGAATAGGCCGTGCTGACGATTGCGTCAATCGCCTCGATGATCCTAAAAAAAAAAATTATTTTAACGGAGAACTGCAGCTTGCTTCAATTCGACATTTTTATTAATATCAATTGCTTTGTAAACAACTTCATTAATTAGTAAATAGGTAGTTTTCCAAAATTCATAAAAATTCCTCGAAATTTAGAAAACCTTTATTGGAACCTCAACCCGTTTTTGATGTCTTGCTGTCTCGATATTATTAAAAATAAAAAGTTGAGGTATCCAAGAAAACAGATTTTCGACTTGTTTTTTACATTTTATTATACCGAAAAATTTTATTTTTATATTTCTGTTACGGTTAAATTTGTTTCTGAAATGTTGAAAATATTTTATACATATTTTTACATTCAGTTTCTTCTCAAGAAAATTGAGATGTCTGTCGAAAATTAATTTCATCACCGATATTCAACTTCCATAAAATTAATATAAAACTTTTATACCAAAGTTAAAAATATGCTGAAATATACAAGATGTGGAATAAATTCATCGTATTATGTACAGAATTTCATGAGAAAAGTCCAATTTTATTTAGCTTCAATTATATTCAAAACTTCTTTATTCAAGCTGTTCTATTAATAAATATTTATATTCTTGGCTCGCTTCCTTCAATCTTTTCTAGCAGTTATAAAAAAAAAAACCTCTGCAATCACGGTTAATTTTATGTGTGTTCTATTTACAACTTCATAAAATGCACTACTTCACTTTATCCGATAATTAATTTAAACGAATATAAATTGCAATATGTAACTGGCCACTCTTGCAAAATCATCATCAAAAATAGTAAAACACGCCAAAATAATCATTTCATACAAACGTGTCTTACCTGTGCAAAGCGCTGTCGGTACCAATAGTCATGTCGGTACCGCAGAAGTCATTATCGATGGACCCGACCAATCCGGCAATTTGCAGCGTTTTGTACTTCTCCTTCTGCTCAGGTGTAATCTCCTTGTTTTGGACTAATTCTTCCAAGAGGGAGTTCCATTCCTGCCTGAACAGATCCGCGCCCGTAAGACTACCATCCCCTCCGATTACAACCAAATTCGTTATTCCCTTTTCTACCAGATTCTTAGCCGCTTTAAGGCGACCCTGTCTCTCCCTAGGAAAAGGAGAAAAGTCGAAATATTGCGCAACATTGAGTATTTTATAAATATGGAAGGAAAAATGTATGTATCCAGTTTCATTGATCTTCTGACATTTGACGTACCGTTATCAGTTCATATTAAAAGTCGTTAAATTATAATTTGCGTTGTGTAATTACTTTGATTAGTTATTTGCAAACATATACATACTTTAAATAGCAAAAATAAGATTTTAAATTTGCGTTAGAATATTTAAAATCTCCAAAAGGTAACAAAATAAATATTGATTTTATAATAAATTTACACAGCATTCGAACAATGAAAGTGTTATCTCTTTACAGTTTTATACGATAAAAACTCTTGAATTATGTCACTTATTAAGACATACAATAAATACAATTCATCCCGATGTTGAAATAATAATTTTATCGTAACTGCACAGTAAACCTATTAAAATTGATTAAAAATAGCACAGTGTGCAGATTGCGAAAACATTAGCTGTAAAATAATGTATCCACACAATTAATAACACAGAAGTATGTCAACAATTATGACGTATATGCGCAAATACTTTGAAATTAAAAACAATAAGTGTGTCATTTACCTGAAATCTTGACAGCGAGCCGACCCAATTATCGTACCGCCTTTATGGATTATGCTACTAACTGAGGACCAGTTTGCTTCAACAATGTAATCGGCACCATCAACCATCCCTTCAAATAACACGTACAATAAAGTTCATTTTACACACACGGCATAAAAATTATTAATAGAATTTAATTCAACTCTTAAAGTGTCAAGGTTTTATTTCAGATGTACCGTACCTTGGTAACCTTCCCTGATGAAATAAACTTTGCATCCTAGATAAATTCCCATACGAACTACAGCCCTTACAGCTGCATTCATACCCTGAAATTAATTGAATTACGATAGAATTTAAACAGGATTTTAAATTCTAACCTGTGAGTCACCTCCACTTGTAAAAACAGCAATGCCCTTTCCTTTGTGGGCACCCCGTTCTATAAATTTTGCCCCCGGTTTTTCTGTCATGTTAGCCTAAAAAGAATCATATTGACGTTTATAAAAATATAAACAAAAGACGACTTAACGGTATCTACGTTTATAACATAATAAGTCTACAGATAATAATTAATGATTATTGCTTTTTATTTAAGATTAGATGCTTTAATAGGAGATTAGGGATTAAAGTGCTAAATCCTGACTTACCAGCTACACAGTTTCTACCTAAAAATATTTACCTAGATCCAAATTTGAAAATAACACTGAAACACTGAAACTATGAATTTTTAGCTTCAAGGTGACCTCTGTCCCTACCAATCGAAGTAATTTTATTGGCTGAAATTGTGGGATCAAATCCCCACCACCCATGTGACTAACAGCATAGATTAGGTAGAGATTTAGTTGGAAGTCCCATAGTAGAAATTGCGACGCGGCCAGCGCTACCTCCTGAGATTTAGTGGAACTATTTTGCGGCCTGAAAATCGATAACGATGGTACAGATTAACAAGGTTTGTTGATTTGTCACTTTTCAAAACTTCTTCAGGAAAGGAAAGCTTGATTGTTCGATCGAAAATGACTTTTTCTCGGTTGTTTAAAAAAGAAGTTGTACCAAATTTAACTTTTAGCTTCTAATATTTTGCGTTCCAATAAGCTGGAACATTCCACTCTTAAAGTGTTCCTGTTTGTTTTCTCCTGCCCCCCACACAATACCTTTACATGTTTCTTCTCGGTGTTCCAGTTGTTTAATTTTGGAGTATTTAAAGAGTAGAGTAGAACACTTCAGGAGCAGTTCTCTGACAATTGGAAAGCAGCTATTGTCTGTTTGTATCTCAGAGCACCTACGCCAGTAGCTACAAAATAATGTTTTGTGCCAGACCAGTAGGGTAGTAATGACATTTAAGATTGGATACACTTTGTAGGTTATATTTTACAGAGCGACCTACACAGGTAAATTTAAGTGCATAACTAGTCGTGTGCGATTTGATTTCGCCATATTTGGCATATCAGCGGCGTAGAGTGCAAGGTGGGGATTATTAAGATTGTTTAAACTAACCTTACCTTACGTTAAGGTAAGTAAAAATCGAGTAGCCTCTTGCTATAATATTTATTTACATCTTAAATATACACTTGTAATTCTTACACAAGATTTATTATACTTACTATTTACAATAATAATAAATAAATAGTTAATGAATACAACACAAAATAAATATTCGCAAGAAACCTTAATCAAAGGGTTTTTATGATCTGGTTGACATCGATTTCCTCACTCAACTTTCCCCTGGTCGCTTGGTAGGTGTCGCGTTCTTGATCGGGATGTTTCGTCGGCAAAAAAGGAGAATGGATATTGGCCTTGGCAGGATACCTGGAAATAATTATCCGATCAAAACCAAATTCTGACACAAGAGCACGTAACGTACTTTATTCCGGCAATATCTATTTCAAAATCACCACTCGTGATGTACTCGTTTGTGACTTTTTGCCGTTCCCCCTTCTCGTCGATATTTTCCACAAAACCTAGGCAAACCTTGAAAAACAAAAAGATGAATTATCAAGAGAAAAATAAGCTAAATTAACCCCACCTGTTTCATAAAGGTATACCCGTAACCCGTGGTGGTGGTCATCCCCACGTATTTGCCGTTTCGGTAAATCGGCTCCCCGCCCCACGGCCACAAGTCGGTATCGGCACAATGATCTTCCAGAATTAACTGTAGGTACATCCTTTTGACCCCTTCGTCTCTTTGTTTTAAGAGAGCGTCTCTGCCGATGAAATCCACTTTTTTCTACAAATAAAAAAGACAGTGCAGCTTGTGCTACAGCAAAAGTGGTTCCAATAGCGGGTCCGCCCCCACAGAGCCTAGTCCAAGAACAATACAGGCAGGTCAAAAATTTCTAGTTAAGACTAAGGAAGTAAGAGGTGTAAGACGTGGATGTCTCGTTTTGTCGAAAAAATTTAAACAATTATTTTAAAAAATTTCTAATATTGACTTAGTTTCGGTTTCAATCCGCCTGATGTGATATGACAATAGCGAGTTATGCAGGTAAAAAACAAACGGTTGAGGATTATTTGGCAAAACAAGAATGACCGAATATGTCACCGCTTTTACGGACGATTTTAAAGACGTATACACTTTAAACAAAACAAAAATGTATGTAGAAATAAAACGGGACGGTTCCAACATTCTATAGAAAATATAAAATGAGAAATACCAAAATTAGTATCTACTTACGTCGAACTTAACACGCCACACTCTTCCACACTCCAACGGCGTAGTCGTCGTGTCTAAATCCTGTCCCCAGAAAGCGTAAAATTTCTCCACTCTCAAAGCTCTGGTCGCGTAGTGGCCCGCATGAATCAAACCATACTTCTCCCCAGCTTGAATAATACTAGAATAGACGTGCAGAGCGAACTGAAATTTGGAAGCGCGTTTAGGTGTATTCGTATCGTTAACAAAAAAAGCCGGGGGCGCATACCTCGTTCGGAATATACAGCACGTATCCTAGCTCGCCGGTGTGCGTGAGATTCATCGTTCTTATACCGTTAGCGAGGCCTACGTCGAGCAGCTTGTAGGTGAAGAACGGGAAGTTCTTAGGATTTAAGTCGGTGTCGGTCAGTTCGGAAAGGAGGTTCCGGGTAAACGGCCCCACGATGCACAGCGCCGTGAACATACTGGTTACGTCGGATATCACGACGGTGGGCGGCAAATGCTTCTTCAGCCACACTTTGCACCGGGTTTGTTGGATGGTAGGCGCAATCATCATGTAGCTAAATGAAGGGTAACAGTAATAAACGCGATAATGTGCCCGAATTCACAATAAAATTAAAATATACACACAGGAATGCGACAAAGATACATGAAAAATTTGCACCCTCTGGGTGGATTTGCATTATTTGCTTTATTTAAAAGAGGTATAATGTTAGGGGAAGGCACAAAAATGTTTTTGTCAGCTGCTTAGTTTGTGATAGTAGATTTACGGAAATCATTAATGCATAATATAAAGAAGATAGGCCCTAAAACTGATCCTCGCGGTACTCTATATTTTGTAAGTATTCTAAACGAATGTACTTTATTTAAGTATTATATTTATTCAATCTAGAGTTGGATTTTCTTCCTGCTGGACGAATTAAATTAAATAAATAAAATACTTACTGATTTTCGGCGAGTCTCGCTAAGGAGCAGTCATTCTCGTAACCTCCGTGCTTATTCTGCATTCCAGTGTGAATGATACTCCCGACGGGCACGTCAACGTCGTTTGAGCATATGAACTGCAGAGCGTAAACCACCTCGTTGCTCTTGGACTGAAAACGAAGTTCATTAAAATAAAAACAATTAATTGACATCGAAAAATGCTTGCCCACAAATCAATTTTCGTAAAAGACGAGTAATCGCTGATCCCGACGCTTTCCCTGCAAGCGGCGTATTCCTTAGCGACAAAATCGAACCACGGGGGTTTTCCGAAAGTGTTGGTGTACGCCATCCTGTACGGAGCGGACCAATCTCTTTTGTCCTGTTCTGAAATAAACGTAACTCGATAACTTGCGCTACGATATCTACGATTAAGTGTCACCTTGGATGTAATCCGGATCGAACCAAGTGGGTCGCTCGTATCCCATCACTTGACCGAAAACAGCCCCCGCTTCCCTCAATTTTGGATAAACTGGAGACATCCTCAAGTTTCTACCTAAAAAAATATGCGAGGATCGAGGATATTAAATTGAAAAAGTTTCTATTCTTAATTTTTTACTAACACTTTGGAATTTTTTTAAATAATGTGTTTATTTCGATTCATCGTTTATATCATGACATAGTTTGGGAAAGTTTGTGCATCGCGTCTATTTTGCCTCACATCGAAACAGGTGCAGTGATTGCCGTAGATAATGCCCCTCACCATAGCTGACTAATTTAAAAATTGTCGAAGAAACGAAGAAATCATGGAACGGTTGAACGGGAAAACGTATTGAATATAAGCACATGATGTTAAAACATACTTACTTGTTTGAAATTCATGGAAGGGATAAGTGAGCCCATAGTGCAACCCGGGAACCTCCGTCACCCGATCCCTAAGAAACTTCCTGTTGTTGTGCAACCCCAGGAACCGCGAGACTTCCAACTCGTACATATCGAACAGTGTCTCGCCGTTAACTATCATTTCCGCCGTGGCTTTCCCTACCCCTCCCGCCGCCGCTATTCCGACTGTCTTCATTCCCGCCGCCACTAAATAGTTCCTTATCTAAAACGTTACACGTTAAACCACTGTTTTTTTTTTTAGTTATGCGGAACATATTATTACCTCCGCAGCTTCCCCCACTATCCATTTGCAGTCGGGGCTGAAAGCTTCGGGACCGTTACACAGCCTGTCTAATATGGCCCCTTTTAAACTCGGGACTCTATGCAACAGTTGTTCTAGTAACACGTGGAAATGGTCCCAATCTTCGGGCAGCTGTCTTTCTTTCATGCTAGCTGGGAGAGGCTTATTTAAATTAAAAGAAAATTAGACACTAGAAATATAGAACAAAAGTACCCATATAACGTTGCCTGAAAATATTTATTTGAGGCATTTCTTGGTTTTGCTTTTTTATGTACTTTATCGTGAAATATTTCCAAGTATTTTAATGTATTTTGACGTTTTTGAGGTATTTTGTTATAATTAGCCGTTTTTGATATATTTTAAAGACTTTCTGGACTATTTTAAAGTATTCGACAGAGAATTTGAAGAATTTTTTGCGGTCTAAGACTCACTTGCCATATTTTCTTGTATTTTAAAGACATTTAATAGATTTAAACGTTTTGATGTCATTATTTTGTACTTTTAACAAATTATAAAGATACAATTTTAATTATTAAAGCATTTCTTCCTACCTGGTATTTTTCCGTCTTCGTAAGCAGGTTTGGCAACGGGTTCGAAACCACCAGCTAATAATCTGCCGTTATTTTCTCTGAAGTAAATATATCCGTCCTGATCTCGTACCACTAAAATAAAATTCAATCAATATTACTAGAAAAAAATACGAAATTCATCCAACCTGGTAGCATAGGATCCAGTCCGGGGATGGGTTTGGTGTGCATATAGTGATGCTCGACAGCATGCAACGGTACTTTTACGTTAGGTTCAGACAGCTGTCCGACGCCCCTCGCCCAAAATCCCGCACAGTTAATAAAATATTCGCAATTTATATTTCCTAAATCAGTCTCGATGCTGGAAACAGTTCCATTCGCCTGGTTAATTTTCTTTATAGTGCAATTTTCTACCACTTTCACGCCTAAAATGAAATATTTTATAAGGTTTATTTTATATTTGACATTAACTTACCCATTTTTTTGGCCTCATTAACAACAGTTAGACATATTTCATACGGGTCTCCTACACCATCCCCGGGAATCCAAAGTCCACCGACTATATCGTCAGTATTTATTAAAGAGCACTTTTCTTTACACTGCTGTGGCGTCAAAAGCTCGCAATCTATTTGCCAAAACCTTGAAATAAGGGACAAAAGTAACCAAAGGATTTAAAAAATTTGAATACTTACGCCGACTGGGCTTTCATTCTTCGAAATACGGTCATACGATCATTTGTTCTAGCCAGATTTAAGCTTCCGCATTGCTTCCAGCCAGTTGATAATCCCTTACTATTTAACTCCTTGTATAATTCTATGCTGGACTTCGTTATCTTAACTTGTGCCAAACTTGGTTTAAATACTCCAATCAGCCCAGACGAATGCCACGTTGTACCACCACCAACCCTAAAAATCTTAATATTTATTGCACGTTTATTATATTTTCTAAGTACAAACAAAAAAAACTAGTGAGACGAAGACTCGATTTCAGTTCGAGAAAACGTGCCATATTATAGGCGTAAATATCCAAAAATTTCTGCACCTGTTTTGTTCAACAAGAACCGTTTCGTTGCCCCATCCAAGTTTTCCAAGGTGGTAGGCCACCGAGGCGCCCATTACGCCTCCTCCGCAAACTACAACTTTCGCATCTCTTGGGGGAGCTGAATATGTAGTTGTATTGGAGCCTACATTGCGTACCAAAAATTTACAGGCCGGCCCACCTTTTCGCAAAACATTGTAAGCAGAGATCATTTTGACTACTCAGTTTTCAGTGAATTTAACAGTATTTGGTATTGAAAGGCTTCATTACATGATTGCTTTGAATTTTCAGGAAATTGGAAGTAGCACTTAATTATAAACACATATCGAAATGGCTAACAATCAGCCATCCCTTATTTTGAGGTTATGTTTTTATTTTGACTTTTGACTCCTTGACATTTGAGCTTGGGCTGTCAAACGATAGATAATAAAAATAGATGGACATGAAATATTTATATGGATCTTTAGTTTTGAATATACTCGATGATGGCGCTTTAGACGTGCTTTTAATCGCGCATCATTCATCGGAATTTAAAGGTTCAGTTGGACATACATATTATAATATTCAAACAGATTGTATCATGTTCTCATTAAGAGTATTATTGTTTATATATAGTATACTCAAATATGCGAATGTAGTTCTTTTATTGCCTGGCAATTTAAATTACATTTCTCTTTAATATACTAGAGATAACACGCTATGGTAGGTACGACTGTCTCTTTACACTTTATGAGACAGAGGTACTTATAACTTTTTACAAAAATTACATTACTTAAGTACAAAAATTTAAATAGGTATCTAGTACGAATTAAACATTTTAACAGCTACAATTCTTAATTGGTAATAAAGACATTTACTTGACTTTAATTAAATAAAAAAAATCATTAAATAAATTACTTAATGTTGAGATATGAAAGGTTAATGCGATGGTACTACTATTTATTGAAAAATTGTGATCGCGTTCTAATACATCATTTTATCGCAAGAGCATCTAAAATATAATTATATTACGGACATTACATGTGATATACAGGTAGATTATTTGGTCATCATGGTGTATGATCATTACATTTTTTTATGTCCGTAATTGCATTAAAACATCAGTATGGGAACAAGCTGTTGTTGAAGTGACTTCGGAAGGTGTATTTAAAAGAAAAAATGATTTCTCAATTTAAATTGAAACTCAATTATAAAATATTAATTGGTCTAGCCTTTTCCGGGTTCGTTTTGTTGTGTTCTGGAATCTACATCGGCACGAAAGTATTCCCAGAAATAGTAATCAACAAAATATGGGAGGTAAATGAACATTTTGTTTAAACAATTTTGTAAATACTTAAATAAAAAGTTTTATAGTTAGAAGAGAAAATACTAGAAAATAAAAAATATTACGGGGAACAACTACTCTGCTAGCTATAGGCCTCGACCGGTATTGAATAGTTGTTAAGAACATTGCTAGTAGAGAACTAATTTAGGATCGTTAGAAAAAAATTAAAATCGATTATTTACCTTGCACTTGTTAATTTTGTTACAGGTCAAAGTGCTAAAAGAAAACACAGAACAGTGGGATATATTCATGAAGGTGCCTTTTCCGTTCACTTTTAAGGTATACATTTTTGACATACAAAATCCTGATGCGATCTTACAGGGTGGAAAACCAGTTGTGAAGGAAGCTGGTCCTTACGTCTATAAGTAAGAAATTCTTCTAATTTTTTAAACATCAACCTATCAAATATATACAAGGATGCCATCAGTTACTTACAAATTATAAATTAAATCAATAAATATTTTATTTATACGCCTTATCAGAATTTTCAAAATTTTGTGCAATAGTTTAGATGTGACATATGTTAATCTTTTCTTAATGTCCATTTATAGCTGCATAAAAATTTTTGTACAATAATAAGTCATTTTTAAAACTAGTGTTGAAGAATGTAAAATTGGAATATTATAAGTATGCTGGTATTTTTAGAGTTTATAAATGGAAATCAGAGGTAGAATGGCAATCAAACGACATTTCCTACTATAGGTACATGAGATTTGAATTCGACAAGGAAGCTTCTGGAAAATATGCGGAAGAGGATATGGTTACTATTCTAAACACCCCTTACAACGTGAGTTTTAGTTAGAATGTACCTATTCTCATTTGCAATAAAACAGAATTGAGACGGAAAATATTAAATAAAAAGTTAAACGAAAGAAGAGAATGTTCTCTATGTATTGTTAAATCACAATCTAACTTACATCCTTGAAAATTTTTACTGGTTTTTTATTATGGTTCGATGAACTAATACCATTTTAATAATTATATGTAAATGGTTTACTATTTTATTATGAGAAAACTCATTTGATGTTATGTATTATAAAACACTTTCAAGGATATAAAAAAATACTAATTTCTAATAAGGTTGAGAAGATCCCATCAATATTTGTCTTCAAACTCATTACGAAGCAACATTTTAACGTGTTTTGATCATTTGGTACATAAAAAAAGGTTTAACAGCACAGCTCTAGTATAATTGCCAAGCTAATTCATTCATTCATTCATTAATCATGGAAAACTATTAATCACAGCGTTTCAGTTAAATATACTGAGAAAAAAGTTAATTTAGTGACATATTTATTATATTTTTTTTTTATTAAACTTGATTCACATCTACGAGAATTTTTTCAGCTTCTGAATTGTAGAAGCACTGTAAATTTGAATGAAACGGAAATAATTTTTTTTTACAAAAAACATAAGAGCGTAGTAATTTGTAGAAAATTGAAAGACGAATCCGAAAATATAATGGTTGTTACCGTAAAGCAGTGGCGTACTATTTTATTTATAAAAATATGTCACAGATACCCTGTACCTACGCCACTGGAGCATACGAATTTTAGGAAAAGCCCTCAGATTTTGGACAATCTTTACATAAATACATGTGCCCAATTTCAAATTATTTCAATTACTAGTTTTTAAATTATTTTAAAAAATAAAAATTTTTTTTTTTGAAGTTTAACGAAGCTTCCTAGATAAAAATTTTATAGGAAAGACTCCTCTTAAAATTCACCAAAGAATACTTTTGGTCACCATTTGTGAATCACACAATTTGGATATTCGGGTGTTCGTGTTTGTGATACCTATTTATTTGTTTACAGTTGTTGTCAAAATTAGTCTAAATTATCCTAATACGTAGTTATATACATTATGTAAGCATCATTAATTCACTCATTCGTAATTTTATTTCGATGTAATTACCGCAACAGGTATTTTGTAAAATATCAAACGACTAAAAAACAGGTGGCTCTTTTAAATCATTTTACTGTAACCATGGCTCTCACAAAAAAAATGCTTTATGATTTTAACTGCACGATTTGAAAATTGGTTTCTTGAATGGATATTTTGAAATTACAGTCTTTTTCGAACTGCTTATATCCAAATAAATTCTTAAAATAAGTATTGCAGCATGGAAAAAGACGTTGTCGGTTTGAATGTTGTGTGGAGTCGGTCGTAGGTATATGAGTAAGCATCTGGTCGCCAGCGCCAGTCCGCCGTAGACCCTTCCTGGGACACTGGTGCGTCCGGCGGCGTCCTGCTGGCGCTCTTGATGTAACGCTTAAAAATGGGTCACTTGCGAACATGTGTACCCACAGTATATACAATCATTTGACCAAAACTATTCAATTTTGTATCGTTTTGAAAAAATTTTCTCCAGCCGTGGTATGTTGTTTTTCCAGACTATGCTATTAACCGTCGAGGCAACTCAGTCTAACATGCTGTCGATGCTGGAAAGCGTTACTCCCGGCGTCTTTAGTGAGAACGACGGGCTCTTCATCAAAGTCAAAGTGAAGGACTACCTCTTCGACGGACTGAAGTTGTGCGTGAATGGAGGAAAAGAGGGCGGTTTCGCTGTCGGGATGGCATGTAAACAAATCGCTGCCAAAGTCAACGAAACCAACAACATGAGGATGGTGGACAACACTGTACTTTTCTCGAATTTATATTATGTAAGTATTCTTTATGGTACCGTTTAGTTTTAAATGTAAAAAAATCGTACCTACTGTCCTCTTGTCGTGCTATTTCTTAGTATTGCATGATAAGCACAGTTCTTAAAAAAATTCGACTGAAAGATCTAAAAACTAGAATTTTAGAGCTTCCAAATGATTTGTTTTAATTCCCGATACGACCATTTTTCACCTAAATACAGTCTGCCAAAAATCACGGAAAATTTTCGAAAATTCGTTTGACCCTTTAATTTTTTGCATTAGTTTAGTATACGTATATATTTTTAAATTTATCGGCGTTCGAAATGTGTCTTGAACCAAATCGAAAATAATGTGGAATGTTCTAGAAATCATAATTAAAAGGTACTACAATCATGAGAATATAGTAGTGTGCTTATGCGCATATGGTGACGTCACTTGAGAGAAAGACCAAGGATGACGTGGCATATATTGGCATGAAAATACAACTTTCTCTCGTTTTCCTAATAATCTACAGCTGTTGTGGACTGAACGTCTTCATATAATTTATTTTATTACGCAAATAAATAAAATTATTCTCTTCTGCATATGCTAAAAACTATTTTTTTTTTGTTTTAATGTTTAATGAATAATGAAACTATAATTCAAAAGAAAGGTTTTTAATTATCTACTTCTTTAATTCTGATGACACATTGAACTACTAAATATGTAAATAAATTTATCGTACAAATTTATTTATGCATAGTATTTATTTAATTTGTCTAATCCTATGAGATATGTAGGTAAAATGTAAACTTTATAAAGGACACTAAATTATGCAGACATTAACTATAAATTATGGTAGCCTCGGTATGTATTTTTAATCAATGAACCTAATATCAAAATCGAAGTTCAACAAGTATATGTAGGAATAAGCATGGCTTATGACCTTTACAGAAATATTCTATATTATTACCCGTAACTATATACTAGGTAATCTTCCAACGAATTAAATGATAAAGAATTGTATGCCTTATATTAATAAATTCATACAAATACGTTACGACTTTTCCAATAGCTTGTTATTTTTGACGCATTCACTATTTAAAATTTCTTTGTTCTTAGCATGGTAAATTAATAGCATACAGTTTTAATAATAAACGTCGAAAAGGAAATGATTTGTAAAATAATAATATAAAGATTTTATGTGACACTTTATTATTCAAATTTAATGTTAATGTTAAATATTTATAAAAAATAATCCTGATATCAATCCCATTAATCATTTTCAATGCGTATCTAGACACCTATTTAATCGTTTTTTAAATCTACAACAAAGTAAGCTTTTTTTTCGTCAGTTCCTAATATAATGTATTTAGACGAGTTTGGAAATAAATATGTGTGTTTTAAAAATCAAGGGACAAGTTTTGCGATAAAAATAATACTCAAACTATACGTATTATACTGGGTGTCTTGTATAAAACACCACAAACTATAATTCCGCCGTTTTTATTCAGTTTTAAAAAATAAAAGATTGGCAATAATGTCTCCACAAATGCTACAAACTACATCATTTTCTAAGACCTACCTTAATGGCAGGCGATTGTCAATTGTTTTTTAGATAGAAAGATATATATTTTTGTATTTCATCCGATAAAAAATTTTGAATCCTGAATGAAACAATATGTGGAGACTTGATGTTCCTATGCACGCGAAACCTGATATTTGTTGTAAACTTTTTAATATTAAGGTTAATTTCAACACCCTATATATTACAAACTAGCGGTTTTAAGACATTTCGACATGAAATTATGACGCAGACCTAGAAAACGCCTTTAAATAGAGTAGAATAATTAAAAAAAAATTTTTCGATCCCAAGAATCTGTGGTCAAAAGCTGTAGAAAGCTTTTTAAGACACCTTGTATATTAGGATTATTAGGTAGTTTTAAATCCAGTAGCAGAATTATCTGATATCCGACTTCCGATAAACGTGTTTTTTAAAACTACTGTTGTTTTACGGAGATTGTGATGATTTTAATTGAAACGAATAACCGAGTATTTTTGGGAAGAGTATTTCGAAATTGTTGTGTTTAAATTTATCTCATAATCCCTTTATCCTACTTCAATGAAGGTATAGTAAGTTGTTATCCGATTTTTAATCTCAGGAATAATGTTTGTTTTAAAATAATACCTATTTGATAAAAGCGAGAGATAAATGCTTTTGGTGTAACGTTACAAAACTGGAAAAATGGCATAAAAGCATGAATAGAAATGGCTTCAAATATGAAGGTTTCTAGCGTAAAAATGTTAATAATATGTAAAACTAACGAGAAAATGTGAAAAATATGGAAATATACATTTATATCCGTACAATTTTTAATCTTGCCAATTATTTAACATAAATTAGTCAAGTTGGCCTTGAATTTATTTAATACGTCAGGTGTGAAATCGAATTTGTGCTGTAAGTTAAAAGCCTCGATAAAGAATTCATCAAGAAATTGTAGAACTTGTTCTCATAAGTAACTTTATTATAAATCGATGCCAATTAATGTGACTAATACTGGAATTAAAACAGACTTGTCGAACTAATAGGTTGTCCGCTATATTATTATAAAGAGGCGCCCAATTTTTGGGCGCCTCTCTAATAATTAATAAGACACGTCTTTGTTTTTTCTTACAATTAGAAAAACGTAAGTCATCAAGGAAGATTCACCATCAACTCGGGTAAGGATAACAGAGAAGAAACGGGAGTTCTGAAGCAGTTCAATGGCAAAACCTACATCTCCACTTGGTTAGGCGAAAAGTCTACATGCAACAAAATTCGAGGGGTCACCACTGTTTTCCCTGCCCAAGTGAAAAAATCTATGGTGTTTGAGTCGTTTGCGGAAGACATATGCAGGTATGTTTCAGTGATCAGACGAAGACATATTGGTACAAATAATGATATGATTTACTCTTTCAATTTCACAATTAAAGGTGCTTACAGAAAGTAACGTATTGCCAAGTTCTTGCGTCATTGTTTTTTATAACTTAATCTTCAGATTTGTTGTTTTACTGGGAAGGAATTTTTAAACAATCTATGTGTAATAATTCCAAGAACTTTTGGAGTCGACACTGACGCGTCATAGCGTCAATTTCAGACAATGGGTATTAAAAATTAAGATAAACAAACGATTTAGATCGATTTGGAAAATCTTTATCAGTTCTAGTAATCCAGGTTTTTCCTTCAACTGTAGCAATATTCAAAACGATTATTGCTTAACAAAATTGCTGGATTGTACCCGTCTCCTTTTAGTATGTATTCTACAAACGACTTCGATATTTTAGGGCCATGTCGTTGAGATTCGAAAAAGAAAAGAAGGTGAAAGGTATCTTGGGCTACAGGTTTGTAGCAGCAAACGATTCCTTCAGCGTTGCGAACGAAGACAACTCATGTTATTGCGTCAATAAGAGCAGAACACTAGAAGGAGAGTTTGGTTGTCTTAAAGATGGATTGGGTGATTTAACCACTTGCACAGGTAAGATTTGGTAACTTTTACAGAATAAACAATATTTTCCCTGATATTTGAACAATCTCATATTACGTTGAATCGGAAATTGTTATGGAGCTGTTGCTGAGCAAAATCAAACACTTGAATTAAATTAATTCAGCATCTCTAGAAATCTTTGTACTTTAAAGTGTCCCTATCTGTTGTATTAAGATAGCATCTCCTCACTCTTAAAATACTACGTTCATAATCTCTCGTAGATTAACAGAATGGAATACAAAAGCCCGATTCTTGAGGTTTCTACGAATGGCCAAAGGCTAGCAAATCTTTTACAGGAATCACATTGCTTGTCACTTCAATTCGATTCAAGGTACCCTTCCAACGATAATGGCAAAGTAAACAACGCATCGCGCACAAATCAATGCCAACGACTTGTTAAATTTTTAAGCTAATCGCGATGGATTTTGTTGTGTAATAAATCAAGCAAGAGTTAATATTAATCGCAGATTGACGCGACTGAGCTGGTAGTGTTTTATGGTTGCATAGCGTGACTGATGGCACTGATGGAATATCAGATGTGGCCTTGACCCGAGACGAAATGTCACGAAGTCAGTATGAAGATCCTTTCACCGGAATGAGGTAGTCGATAGGTGCAAATTGTCTTATACATTTAAATAAATCGATGTGCCGAGCTCTCGTAATCCAAGTGTCAAAGATCAAGGAGGAAAATTTATTATTTCGACGCAAATACACGTCAAAACCGGTTCAATAAACTCCACGAGAAACTCTTGGTCTTTCACCATAAAAAATAATATTTCAATAGTACTTAAAATAAAACTGAGCAAGTCGAGATCTGCCATTGATTGTATAGCTGTTTTGATCTTTTTCCAGGATTCTAAAACTGACGTAATTAAAGTTTCACCTTGCATGTAACGTGTTCAAATAAAAACGTGGTCGAAGTTGGCTCTGACACATTGGACGTAGGGCGTGGCTTATAGCGACCAACTTAACCTCATTTCTCAACGAGCTGTATAGCAGCTGTCAGTTTCAATAACGTTAATGACTATATAACTTTATTTTAAAGAATAATCGCGATAACAATAACAAACAATTAAAGGAGCTGCGGAAAGTGTCCCCCTCCTTGTTATCACACTTAAATAAAACCAGGCTTCATCATAAAAAAGGTGATATTATGAAGTTCACCGTAGTTGTTTAAAAACCATTCACAAAATACAGCCCGTCGCGGAAAATCAACTTCATGAAGTTCTTGCTGACAAGTTAAACGGTAGGAGAACAAACGCAAATCTTTTTTTAACACTGTGTGGCAGGTACCGACTGATACTCCCACCATTTGTGATAAAACACTTACAGAAGTTCTTGGCGCATTTTCCATTATTTGTTGGACATTTTCTTTTAATTCTTCAGTCCGCTTTTTAGGTCGGCCGCTTCCTTCTTTTCTTGTTACACTGCCCGGTTGACGAAAAACATTAACACAACGCTGAACTGCACTTTGAAAAATTTTGTACTCAACAACGCCGGGAAATTGATTTTGAAATTCTATGAAACATTCCTCAATAGAATACTTCCATATTCCATCAATCTTGCGTCCATTTCTAAAGTAGGACTCTATGATAAACACTTTTTGTTCTTGAGAAAACACCATTTTAAACGCTTTTTAAAACGAAAATATTCAAATTGATAGCGGCGATATACCGCTTTGACAGATGACGTTTAAGTTCATTTGCTACACGCTACGCCCTACGTCCAAATTTTCAGAACCAACTTGACCACGTTTTTATTTGAAAGCTCGTTACTTAAAATAAAACTGAGCAAGTCGAGATCTGCCATTGATTGTATAGCTGTTTTGATCTTTTTCCAGGATTCTAAAACTGACGTCATTAAAGTTTCACCTTGCATGTATAAAACACTAAAGTATTCTTTTTATTGGTAATAACTGGAACTTTCAAATGTCTGTAATTTATGCATCGAAAAACTGGCTTTGCTCCGCAGTTTTTTGTGAAGCAGATCTATTAACATAAAATCAATCTGTTCCAAGTCAACAACGGAATAAGTGGTTTTTAGGTTGTTTCTTATCGATGACCTAGAAAATAAAATTGTGAATATTTTAAATGACCTTGCACTAAAATTATTTGGAAAACTGTGTTACCGTAATATTTGTCAAATATCTAATGTTACAGTTATCAAATACCACAAAACGTGTAAACTTTTAAAAGTACAAAATTTCCCTTTTAGTATAAAAATTAAGTAATTTTCAAAAAAAAATTATAGTCCAGTCAAGCATTTTGGCTCCCAATTTTACTTTTGAATAAAATTTTTCAATTTTTTAAAAAATCACCTTTTTTCAAAATATTTAAAAAACTAACAAAGTTATAAAAAAATGATAGGATAAGAAATTGTAGTTTTTTTCTTACTGAACAATTTGCTTTTTTTAAATTTTTGTAGGATAAAATTTGACTGAGTTAGAAGCTCAAAACTAAGCTCCAAGACTGTCTTTCCTGAGCCCTTTTAGCTTACAAATCTAAAATACGAAGAGCTCAAAAAAAAACTGCATATCACAGAACTTAAAGTGCTTTATATTCCCTACAAAATGGTTTTTTGAGTAAATTTATAACTTTAAAATTACAAAAGTTATGGTAAAAAAATTAATCGCATTTTTTCGGCAAAATAAGGGATTTTTGTATGGCTGAAAAGTTGCATCATAGATCATTTGAAAACCAATAAAAAGTTTATAATTCAACATAAACATAGGTACCATTAAAACATCTCAAGCTTTCAATAATATTTTTTTGTTTATTTTATTATAAGGGATGTTTTTTAAGGGTTGCAACTTTGTAATGAGTCGTAAGCTTTCTAATGAATAACAAAAGAAATGCAATACATTGTGAATGCACCAAAATAATATTTTAAACTGTTAAAAACTTTTTTTTTCTATTTTTTTGGCCATGGAAGGCTAGTTTTTAAGGATTTTTAAGGGTTGAAAAGTAATTAAATTTCATAAATTATATTAAAAAACATGAAAGGAACTTTACCCAACATATTTGAACATGAACTGAAGCTTTAAAATACGTAAATCTGCGATATTCCCATTTTTTTCGTACAAGGGTAGTTTTCGCCTCCAAATAAAAAAAAGCACACATCTAGACAATATAACTTTTGAAGTGGGGGGTCAGATGAGCTTGTATGCAAATTTTCAGGAAAATCCATGCTATCCGAAAAAATGTGGAGCCTTTACCTTATTTTCGCCTTCAGTGACTCGACTATTAAAGACTAGTGTAAAACGTCATACTATATCCCCCGTATTTTATTTAAACTTTGTCAGTAGTGATCGGAAAATAGAATAATCAGAACCATTATCGGTCGATAGCCGCACGGTTTAAGGCGTCAGTACTTATATCGATGTGTCGATTTGCCCGGGTGTCGAATCCCGCGGCCGGTAGACCGTAGATTAGCTATGCTTGTACAGAGGATTGACACCCTCTGTGCAAGTATGGTAGGGTGGAAGAATGTTGGCTTGGGTCAATGTGAGAGATTGACACCGGTTGGCATTTGACCACCCCCCTAATTAATGAGGTTTTCCAGGTTTCCCTCATTCCTGCACTGAATGGTGGTTAGGGCCTACCAACATAAGTCGTTCCTGGGCGCAAATGCGGCCTGCGTAATAATAATATGCCGCCTCCTCTCCCGCACAAGTCTCCGACTTCTGGGCTAATTCTCGTAGTTAGAATGAGGAGTAGAGATATTATTATTATTATTATTATTATTATTTTACGTGAAAATGTCATTCGATTGTAATTTCCTTGTTTTTGAAGATACCGGAAATGTAACGTACGATGTAAACTACACCACACTTCCGGGTGGTGGACCTGTGCATCTACTAATTTTTTAATTTCATTTTATGATAATGAGGCAATTATGTAATTTCGCAAATTTCTCCACGCTTAGATGAAAGCCGTATTCAAGCACAACTTAAAAAAATTATTTGAAGCATAATAAACTTATTTAACCATGTTTTCTTTAGCACAGAATCTTAGGCCTAACCTATAAAATATTATCTCACTTTTGATGTTTCGTAATAACAGGAAAACACTTAAAATTATTTAAACAATTCATTCAAACTTGAGTGCTGCCCACGCGTACCACCTTCCTCTTCAATAAACTGAAATTAACAGCAAACAAACTACTCACTACTATTTTCTTTAACCGCGGCCTTTCTCTTAAACTATCCGTACACATAATTTTATAAAACTGGTACATAAAATGTATTTAATTAGTGTTTTATTACATGTTTCTACCCACGCATGTTTCTGGTTCACTGACAGTCTTGCCTGATGAAAAAATTTTTAACTGACTTTCGAATTAATCCGTTTGTAATATAATTTTTAATGTAGGTGTATTCCTGTTTATTTTGCCTGTTTCATCTAGTTTTTGTTAGGTACAAGCTATCATTTGATCGTGAAAAAATAAATGAGCGTTCATATTCACAAAAAAATAATATATCCATGATTAATTATAATAGCTACAACCAATGATAAATTAAATGGTCATGTCAATAGTTGAAGGCAAACTACGTCGACTTAGCATGTTTCTCACAATTATACCTGATATTTACTTGGATTTTACTTGAGGTGTTCTAATTGAGAAGCAAACAGGCTTCTAGTTTTTAAAACTGTTTTTCATAAAGGCATAATATTGTAAAGGTTGTGCTGTCTCATAGCTATTTATTATTATCGGGCGGTTTATCTATTTATAAGTTGCTATTCATAGTCGTTGAATGAGCCAACAGGTTTCTGCATTCTTGGAACTAAATTTTTTATCATTTTTCCTTTACATTTTTGTATATGTACGTATCCAAACTTTGCGAGTGCCTTCTTTATAACGAGTCCCACAAATTTTTCCTCTTCGAAAATTTTCGGCGAATCTTCTTTTTTATCGGAATGGTCAGTTTTTATGACAAACCAATTAAAAAAGTATTTGTCAGACAAAAATCATGCCGCGTTCCCATTTGTCCACCATCCCTAAAATGTCAAAATGGCGTCATTATTTATCTTTATACAGTGTAGGAAAGTACCGATGGTCTATCAGAAGTTACGTGAGAGCGATAAAGTAAGCCATAGAAATCCATGTGATAGACAAGGATGGCTATAACGAAGGCGTCTAATAGTCAACGCCCATTTTGCCCTTCCACAAATAAGAAGTGGATCGAATAAATTTATGGATAGCTTTGCTTTGTATCTTTTTTTAATTTATTAACTTCGTAAGAAAGTGTTTACCTGCAATCAAAAAAAAAATACCAGGACAGCAACTCTTTCTGCTTTGCTTTTTGTGAGACTTAAATCAGCATTCGCGTGCTCTACATCCTCAGCAATAAATCAAGATCTCTTATAGCCGCGAGCCAAACGGTCCGAATTCGGGACAGGTCTGGGTCTCGGGTCAACGCCGGATCTTCGTATAAAGCAGAAGATCTCCGCCTTGCAACATCAGTCACGATGCCACCTACGATCGCCTTGCTCTTGCTGTCCTTCGCGTCGGTCTCCGCGAAAGTCTACGACCGCTGTGAGTTGGCGCGAGAACTAAAGTACCTCCACGAGTTCCCCGTCCACGAGGTGGCCACGTGGGTGTGCATAGTGGCCCACGAGTCCATCTACGACACCGCTGCCATGAACCCCGGCAGCGGCGATCACGGACTCTTCCAGATATCGCAGCTGTACTGGTGCTCGCCACCAGGCGACGGTTTCGGATGCAACGCTCCGTGCGCCGCCTTCAGAGATGATAACATCGCAGACGACGTGAAGTGTGTGAGGAGAATCTTTAAGGAACACAAGAGGATATCTGGTGATGGCTTCAACGCTTGGGCTGTGTACCCTTTGTACTGCAAGGGAGACAACGGTAGATACACCAGGGGTTGCTTCGACAACGAGATTGATAACAGCGTTAGTTTTGGAGAGCAGGAAGTACCCGTGAGTACGTCTTCCTCTACGGCAACACCTGATGATGAGGATGACGACGAAGGTTACGAATTTCCGCCGCTACCAAGTCCTCCGAAGAAGACTGTGGACAATGCAATCGGTAGCAAAGAGGATGTTTACGAGTTCCCACCACTTCCCACAACTCAGAGGGTGCTCAGTTACGGCTTCCAAGCAGAAAGGATGTTGAAACTATTCCCTAATTTTGTGGATACAGCGTTTATTGTAAACACAGAGCCCAATTTTTTCACAGTAAGTGCTGCTGCGCCTCTTACAGAACTGTTCCTTGCCTCATCGTCCTATCCCAGCATTTCGAAGTTAACCCCAAGGCCGCCAACTCTGGCGCCGTTCAGAACCTCAGTAGGAACAAAATCAACCGCAACATATTTCACGAAGAAACCAGTTACCACCAAATCTACTACCTCTGCAGTGTTTATAAAACCAAAACAAATTACGTTCAGACCATTTTTCGGAAGACAAAACGAAACCGTAACTTTAATGCCTGTCATTGGTCCTCCAAGGCCTCCAGGTGGTTCGCGACCTTCAGGTGGTCCAAGACCTCCATTACTTCCTAGACCAAGCATCAGACCTCCCAATGTAAGGAGTACTTCTAGCAGACCACACAACCACAGGCTGTCCAGACCAACTTTGCGACCTTTCTCCAAACTGACGACAAATTCAAATAAAAATACTGTCTTCGCTAGCACTACACCGCTTCATTCCATCTCAACAACAATTAGACAGAGTATATCCCCTAGTGCTTCGGATATTTCCACGTCTGATACCAAGGCAGTATACACGTTTTCCAACCTGGCACAGAAATCTACCCCAGCAAAGCAAAGTACTGTGACTTTTCCTTCTACGACCACGGTACCAGTTTCTACTTCTACTATAAATGTATTTACAACTCTTTCAAAAAGTAGTGAGACTAAACCTGCAGAAGAACTGTTACCAGGCATGAAAACAAGCTCGACACCAAAACCACCAAATTCTGGTAGCAACGGTAACAGCTTGAAAAGGGAAGAAAGGCGGTATGACAACGAATTTCCCGGTTACACTTTCTCGAGGATCGGCAACGGTTTTAGGCTAGTCCAAAAGTTATAATTGTTTCGAACCCAATTAAGTAAAGACTGATAGTTATAAGGTAGTGGTAATTTATTTATTGTCGTTTGTAACTTTAATTTTAAGGTGCACCCGTATTAGTGTCTTTTCCTCATCTACTTCACGCTGATCCGGAATATATTTCGAGCGTGGTGGGACTGCAGCCCAACGCTTCGAAACACGAAACTTTCCTCACTCTGGAACCGGTGAGTTATAATCCATTAGCCTTTAAAAAATGCCCTACGTTTTTACGCCAGGATAATCAGCTAAAAGTAAATAAGCGAGATCATAAGAACCGTGTCATGTGAAAAAGAAAAATTGACAATAATAAACAGGTTGTCCAATACACAGAGAGCAAATAATTTTTTTTTGTCGGTCTTATAATTTTTTAATAAAACCAGATTTTCTGTAAAAATGAATGTGAATTAATTAATTTTAGCGGATTTTGTAGGATATTATAACTGAGTTATGTAATATAATAAAGAATATTAATAACTGTTGAATAATAATGAAATAATAAAACCAGTCAATTTATGATGCAAATAGTTCAGTCTGTATAACCAATTTTCATTGTACAGGAAATCCCAAGAGTAAATGACACAATTTTAATCGTGCATTTAACTCCTCAAAAGCATCAACTTTTGTCTGACAATGTTTTTTGAGAACTTTTGAGATAATTTCAAATTTTCGTTCCCCGCCGTCAAAATATTCTGTGAAAAAAAAGTTCATATAAACGTGTTGAAATTTAATTTTTTTATTATTTTTTATTAATTATGTATTTCAAAAAGTTTTAAAGATATTGACTCGAAATTTGAAAAACGCTTTATTGGAGGGATAAATGTACATTTTTTGGGGTGATCCGAATATTTCTACTTCCACCAGTGGCGTTCGTGCGAGAATGCCACAACCTTTCTTAATAAAAAAATGGTGCACCACTGACTTTTTCCCGTTTTGATATTTTTTTAGAAATCCGTCATCAGTTCTGAATGAAATTGGTCTCTCCAATTTTTTTTCGTAGGATGCACCGTTTTTGAAGAAAAAAATGAAACATATTGTATTGTGGGTTTTGTTAATCTTTTATTTATAGGTGCAAGTAGAAATATTCGGATCACCCCAAAAAATGCACATTTATCCCTCCAAAGCGTTTTTCAAATTTCCAGTCAATATCTTTAAAACTCTTTGAAATAATTAATAAAAATAAATAGAAAATTAAAATTTAAACGAAGCATATTTCCACCTAGGTTTATACGACCTTTCTCTCACAAAATAACTTCGGCAACCACCCCATTAAAATATTTCGCACTTATTTACAAACACCCTGTATATATATTTGAAAATTTGAAATTATTACTTTCTGCGTGAAAAATATATTGAGAAATAATTATTTTGAATATTGCATAAATTAAAGTAAATCGGGAGAAAGAGAGTTATTACGAAGAAAAAAATTATTTTGCATTGTTTATTGGATTATTGTATTATAAACAGGTAAAAGAATTTAATTTGTCGTGTTTGTACTATCAAATTCATTTCAAACTGTTGAAAACTATTTTTTTTAATATTTTGTTTTTAGGGGTAGTTTTTTAAGGGTTGAAATATTGTAATAAATTATTTATAATACCATATACTATTAAAAAGATTTCTATCTATATTATATGCGCTATAAAAATATTTTAAGGTAAAAGAAACTATTAATTTTATATTTTTATCATTAAGGGTGATTTCTAAGGGTTGAAACATTATAAAAGTAACGTAAATTATAACCTACAATATAAAACAATATTTCTTCTATATATTAAGATATGATTTTAGTCTACTTAACACCTACTTTTATATTTATTCAGTTTTTTAGGATAAGGGGTGGTTTTCATCCCCTAAAAATGAGAAGCGCATATCAAACAACTTTTCATCTACAGGATGAAATAAGATTAATTCCAAATTTTCATAAAAATCGGATCTATCCGATAGTATTCGGAGTTATTCGTTCCCTGGACTATACTATAAGCATTCTGAAAGCAGTAAATTTGTCATATTTCGAACGTCAGAATAAAAAACTCAGATTAAATATAGTTTGTTGGAATTAATATATATATTTAAATTTGTATAAATCTGATTTGATAAGGTCAACGCAATAAATTTTTTGTACGACCTACAACATTTGCAGTAGTGTACGGCGCGGACATTATTAGGTATTGCTTTACCATTAATTTAAAACAGGTACAGATAAGTAGTGTAGTAGCAATAAAAACTGTCAATTGTTATAAAATTATCTATAAAATAACATCACGCAGCTAGTAGTTATCGATAATTAGATATGTATCTGTCACAACATCGTCATTTGCTCATTAATTTTTCAAAAAAAAAAAATATCAGTTAGATTATGAAAATGTCCTCAATCGAACTCAGGATAATAAATTACAGACTGTCCTATTTTATGCATCTCCAGTAAAATATAATTGAACACAATTTGGATTTCAATTTTCAGTAAATTGTTTATGACAATTGATTCTAATTTGTCCTGAAAGACTATGACGATACTTGCATAGAAATGTGCAAAACAATTAATTTGCTACAAGTTTTAAAATATTTAAACTGGACTATTTACTGGAAATTTGCTTGCTATTTTTGGGCCTCCCTATATATTTAATAAATATTTATACTGAACAGGCGATCATTGTTTACTGATTTAAGAACAATTTGCATATTCCTTGTTAGGAACCCACTCGCATAACATACTACAAGCTATTGCTTCTCGAAATAAAACAGTAAACTTTTTTATGTCATGTACATGTTATTGTCATGATTTGTTGACTGTTTTCCAATCGCATTTCCATGAATTATGATCTTGATCTTATGATCATTCCAAGAAATGTATGGGATTGTTTCAATTTGAAACATGAAAAATTTGGAAGTTGATCTTCATATTATTTTAATATTATGTTCAATATTTCGTTATGCTTTTCTGTAGATAAGCGGATTTCCTTTGGAACTGGCTCAAAGGGTTCAGTTCAACATGTTCATCAGGCCATTCGAAGCCATCAGCAGCTTGGAGAATGTAACAAAAGCTCTGATTCCTCTGCTCTGGGTTGAAGAGGTTTGTACATATTTTATTTCACACAATCACATTCAATTTTAAAGAAGCTTGTAGGATCACAGTTACAATAAATTTTGCGGAAAACTGGTTTTGGAAACAAGGCCTTTGTCCTTAGATAAATTTCCTCTATTTTAAAAGAAGAAAAGAAGGAATTTTAAGTGCAAGAAAAATCGCCTAATAGTTTTCTCAGTATACAGGGTCGGTAAGTCCCCATGGGCGAAATGGGCGGTGACTATTAGACGCCTTCATTATAGCCATCTTTCTCTATCGCACGGATTTATATGACTTTCTTTATCGCTCTCACGTAACGGCTGATGAACCATGGGGACTTTCCGAACCTGTGCATATGAATAAGAAATATGTCCTAATGTGTTATATCTTTCACAGCACGTAGTTATATGTCTGAGTAAAGCGATTTAATCTAATGACACAGTTTTGTTATGCATAAATCAATTATTTAACGAATCGATTAGTTCAAATGCGACGTTCTTCATTCCTCTATTATTATCGGTAAATGTCACATAAAATCGACTTCGAATGAAGTCTGCTTTTATAAATAATTTCTCTTAGTTCCCAAATTACTTTTGTTCCCTACATATTGGACTGAATATTTTGTTGAATTTGTGTCGTAAATAAAAAAAATATCAATTTATCTACATACTTCCTTTATCAACATCAATTTTTCAGATTTAAGTTATTTATAAATTATTTTTATATATCACGCGAATATTGTTATACTGACACTTAAGCGGATAGATACAATTTAAGAATTGACATACAGGGTGTTAATAAAATGACCGATATTCTTCTTAGAAATACCAATTGAAATTAATTAAATAATAATAATTAATAATTACATAAATTGAACACCCTGTATAGGAAATCCATTACAAAAAAACAGTAATAAATTCTACTGGACATTCTCATAAAAATCATGCACTTTTTTACAATTTAGACATTTTTATAGTTCTGTCTTTTAGTTGACATTTTTGTTTCCATAATAAGTTTTCCTGCATTTCCAGTCAAATTTAAAGAAATCGCCCAAACCTATGAGATCGCCCTCATTCAGTGTAATTGTTTTTTGCAGTCAACTGTCCTGGGGGACAAATACGTCGACAAACTGAAGAACGAACTGTTCAAAAATTTGATGATACTCGACGTCATCAAATGGGGGTTTATAGGAATCGGAGTAGCATTAGTAATGTCAGCTTTCTTCTTGTTTATTTATGTGAAATCGCCTTGATTTGAAATCGTGCAGCACCCTTTCTTGAATTGATGTAACAAATATATCGTTATTATCATTTTGCTGCGTGATGATTGTGTAGTCACACACCTACTTGTAGAAATCTTGTTGAATGTATGTAGCTAGTTAGAAGCAGATTGAATTTAGTGCATAGATCATAAATGTTGAATTTATTGCAACTTAAAAGGATGTGATATAAATGTATCCAGTGATGAGGGCATAAATAACAATGGATTTTTAAAATTTTAATAGGAGGAAATTTAAAAAATAAAATCAGTACAATGCGATTGGTATATCTTGAGAAATGCGTTTTAATGATAACGACTGAAGGTGATCTCTGCAGTGGTTGTTATATTTGTAAATTAATACAAATTTTTGAAGAAAAGTGTTGACCACTTCTTCAACTCGATCCGCTTTTCGTATATCAAAAAACTATAAAAAACGCAGAAAATGCCAAAGAAAACAATGTGCTACTAAAAGTTCTTTCCAGTGGTATCTAAATATAAAAAAAATTACCTGACGTGTGTGAATGTGTAATAATTTTGTTTGGCAACTGCTGAAAATAAAATACCGCTTCAGAATTCAATTATTTTCAAGAAAAACGCATGGCGTAACATACAGATTGTAAGAAGTTTGACTGACTTCAGTATGAGTAATCATAAATGAACAAAAAAGTTGTATATTACATGGGCGTAAGATTAACAGTTTTCAAAATACAGCGAGTATTAATATTGGGGAGTTTCATCACAACGTGGCAACAGCGCTTAATATATTGCTACACAGCCGATGCACCACGTGTGCACGTGGCAGACTTGTCCTATGGAAAAAATGTAAACAACTCTTATTGAGAAATATTTAGTAAATTTAAAGACAATTGTTTTCTAGTTTTTAAATAAATAAAAACAAATGTATCGATTTGGTAGTACGAAGATAGTGTTTTAGCTTCAATTTTAGCAATAATTTTTAAATGCACAACTACAACATATGCTCAAAATGTCCACCACCATTTTCGGGATTTCTCCTTATTTGATAAAAAAAAAAACAAACATAAAACACACCACGGAAATGAGACAACCCCCAAATCCGAAAGCCACAATCCATGCAGCAACAATTCGTTCTCGCAAGTCTTCGTCTGTCGAATTCCAGATACCAACTGAATTCCGTATTGTTGGATACCTTAATACCGCGTGTTAACCGCCGCGGCGTTGCCACATTGCTCGATATGAATTTTATCGAATTTTAAATTTATTACAACGCTAATTATTTTTTGGGATTAAGCATAAATAAGTTAAAAAAAGTGATGAACATGGTATTTTATGGGATCCTATGCACGCAGTTATGTCAATATTCCTTAATTAATCGAACTTTTTTACATCAAGTTGATTATTTTGATAATTTCTTTCTCGGAAAAAAAAACCTCGTATGACATATGAGTTTTTTTTTGTTTATTTTAATGTATTCTATCGTCTGCTAAAATTAAGGCAGTTAAACTACTAACACCCTGCATATCGATCGTCCAGTACATACAAAGTTTTGTACAATCATATGCATAGAATTAGACAAACAGGTATGACATAAAAGCAAAAGAGATAAGGTGAGTTTTACCTGTTACTTTTTTAAATACTTTACATATTTTTTTTAATTTCAGTAGAGCTTTCGATTGCTTTTCAGGCAAATCGGCTGTTTTAATACCCTTGTTGGCACATATCCGTAAATGATATATGCAAATTTAAATATTACGGTTCTGTGTTAATTGGTATTGTAAATATTATGTGTGGAATATGAAATACAAAGTTTTTGAAACATTTCTAAATATAGATTCAATTTTTCTCCATAGTTTATTTCATAAAATATCATATTACTTAAAAGAAATAAATATATTTTTTCAAATTCCAATTAAGACAGTCAAACAGTAAAATTTCACTTTTGGAATGTTTCTTAAATAAAATATGTTTGAAAATGTTCTGTAATTACAAAATATTTATAGAACTTTGGTCTCAAAATTATCTTCATCAAAAAAAGTTTAAGGTTTTATTAAAAGTTTTAGCAGTTTTTTGCTGTATTACATTTAGCTCAATTAGTCTTTGGACAATTGAAAATTACGTTCTTTAAGGTGTTCGTCACTTTACACAAACTTGGAAAGAATATTTTTTGAAAAGATTTTTTTTTAAATCTCCTTTGACTTTATCACAGTAATACAAAGAAACATTTTTGGAACTGCTCGGTTAATTCACACAAATTGCTGTACATAAAGATATTTTGTGAACACCTTGTTCATTTTTTCCTCCAAACCAACAACAGGAATTTTGTTGCTTACTTTCAGCATTTAACCTTCATAATTTATATATTTGAATACTTTTTAACGTTATAAATATTTTAGTACATGATTGAAAAAGAGGTATTGTACACTGCGTTGTATTGTCGGAATGATAATTCTTAACAAACTGGAAATATACGGATAGGAGTAGTGTTTTATAACATTTTTTCACGGGTATCATTGAGGAATAAATTATTTAGATAAATATTGCGGATCATGGATTGAGCTAAAGTTCGTTGTTGTCGTACATTATGCAAATAAATAGAAATTATGACATCATTATTCAGTTTCCGTGAAGTAAATGAATTTCATAGAGTTTGAAGTAATTGCTTATTGTATAGGAAATAAAGATTTAATATATTTTCCATAATAATTATTCCCTTTTCCTTTTTTTTACAGACATTGTCTACTAAACTAAATTGGAACCAGTTAACGTTAAATAACGCCAAAACCATAAATATTAGAAAAAAGAAACTATTTGAACCTTTTTTAAAGTACTTTGAAGAACCTTTAAGATGTTTTAAAAGTCTTTAGAATCAAAATTAACGGAAATATGATCGTAATAACATAATAGTCTCATTTTTTTAAGAAAAAATTAATAAACAAATCAGTGCCTTTGGCGACAGAATTAAAATTAAATGCGATCCATTTACAGATTTCTTCATTTATGTTCTAAGAATATGTTCTGGGTCTTTGGCTCACTTACAAAGCTTGATTTCGAAAAAAAAAAAATTTTGAAAATGTTAATTTTTCAAATTTTTGAAAAAAATTCGATTTTTACGCTGTAGCTTAAAAATTAAAGGGTGTACGAAAAAAATACAAGAGTAAAAAAATTTAGCTTTATTTTTGCTGAAGGTTTTGCTTTTTTTATTATTCCTCTAAAATTAATATTAATCGAGATTTCGCCATTTTAAGTAGTCATATGAATGAGAGAACCACCCTTTTCGAGCTCTTTAAACCCTTCAAACTTAAAAATGAAGGGCTTAAAAAAGATCAAAAATCTTAAAAAGTAATAAAGTTTTCGTTCAAAAAATAAACACGTGTATGGGTGATAATTTTAGAAAAATATATACAAATATAGGTATAAATAAATGTAAGGGGTAATTTTTAAGGGTTTAATTCAAAATTATTTTATAAGAAGGGAATAAATGTTTATTTAATACGAATGCACATTTAAAATGTTTCTACTCTTTAAATAATATTTTTTCATTTTATTTTCGAAAAAGGTGTATTTTTCAAAGGGTTGAAAAGTGGCAATCGATAAAAAAGATTTTTTAATCAAGAAATCAATTTTAATTTGATAAAAGTGCATGATTAAAACGTTTCAAGTTGAAAAAAAAAAAGATATATTATTTTCATCCAAAGGGGTGGTTTTTAAAGGTTTTTCCGGGTTGAAAATTTGGGATACATTAAATTTCATGTTAGATAGCACATGAAATTACTCATACTGCATAAATAAAAAAAGATTTGATTACATAAAATGCTTAAATTTGTATTTTCTCTTTTTTTCCAATAAGGGGTGATTTTCACCCCTTAAGAACAAAAAATACACCTAGCGCATATATAAGTTTTGAAGTGGGGGGTAAGATGAGCCTAATCCTAAATTTTGAGAAAAATCGATGCAGTTATAAAAAATTTCGGAGGTATTACTATATTTTCAGCTACAACTGGACTACTTTGACACAGACAGGTGACTTATTATTTTCTATCCCATAATCTTATAATATTCCTTAATCATGTCATAGACCATGTCAGAAAAAAAATTTATTTAGAGATAAATACTAAATTATTATTACATTTCTATAGAAATTACAATCTCTTTCTCGCAAGGATTTTTCTATTTAATGAAATAACCGGTTTGGATAGAACACCCTCTGACTTATTATTTTCCCGTTGACGATATATAAAAGTTTATGAAAACTAAACGTTCTAAGGTATTCTTAATCAGAATCATATGAGAAATTCAGGAAACAGATAATTTGTAAAACGTAAATACATATTCTGAAACTTTCATATCTCTAAAAAAAATAAACATTCTACGGAAAAATGCCCTACAAAAAGAGATCTGTAGAAGCAAGATCTGGAGGTATAGCAGGCCAATTTAGCGGACCAGCTCTACTGATCCAGAGACCATTGAAAACGCGATGAAGTACCACCGAATAGTTTGGTGGACCACCATCATGTTGAAACCACATATTCTGCAGCACTTCTAAGCCCATGTCTTCGAGTATGTTGGCAGTTCATTTTCCAAATCCAAAAGATTTCAAAGTTACTTCCCGCCCCACCTACAAGGAGGGGGAGGGGGGCTACTTTTAGCTCTACTGTACTTTGTTTTTTTCGAAGAGTGCTTAATTTTCGAGATATTCGAACGTTTCAAGTTAAGAAAATTATCCGATACATATAATACTTTTATTTTAATACGAGTTTATTTTTTGAATTTCCGCGATGATTCATTATTTATTAAAATAGAGCAGTTGCCACTTTGAAATCTATTTTGCATCTGATAGTGATTGTGATGGAATAGATAATAATCGCCCGTCGTTAGAATTTCGAAATAAAAGACATAGATATGAACAACAGATAACATCCGAAAATTGACCTCCAAACGTTATCATTTGTTGAGCCCATTAACAAGTGCTATCTATCATCAGATCTACTTGATGCTTCATTAGGCTACATCAGATAATTTTAACAATGCTTCTCATTTTAATAGAGAAAACAGATTCGGGTTCAAAAGTTAATTGAAAGTCGTCTCGAAGTTTGAAGCTTTTTCTCGTTCAAACTTACAATTTAATTTAGATCTCAGAGAGCTGCATTTCCTTGAAATTTTACTTGTGGATAGCTGGTACGGGATTACTACGAAAATTTACAAATAAAATTTAGAAAATTTAAAAAATCCAGAATTTCAAAATACGTCCTCGTCAATGGAACTAGATTTACAGTACTTCAAAACTTATCAAAATTTCTATAAAATATGCCAAAATACATCTAAATGGCATCAAATAACATTAGACCGATCGAAATAACTCATTTATAGGAGAAAAAAAAAAAATTGTTACCTGGACTTTTATAAGTGGAAATGGTAAAGGGGCTTATAATAAACGTAAAAAAAATAAATGCGTGAGCAGGGGCGGCGGAGGGTTGATTTGGGGGGTTGAAAAGGGGTGAAAAATGGTATCATTGAGATTTCTGGCGAAAGTTGATGTCAAACAAAAAAGTATCCAATACAAAAGTTATAGATCATGAAAAAATCTACAACTCTTGTAGAGGGCACTTTTGAAGATAACCTCAAAATTTCCGAGAAAAATGCGAAAAATAGGTTTTTTCCTTTTTTTTCGTTTTTTATTTCTCATTTCCGCAAAAATAATTTAATTTTGACGAAACTTGGTGAAAGTATACTTTGCTGTGTCTTAAATAACCACAATTTTTTTTAGATAAAAAAATTAAGAAGTTTCCGAGATATTCATATTTTCCGGTCTGAAACACTTTTTTTTTTCAAATAATATTTTTTACTCAAAATTTAATTCTCCATCGATTTATTTTTGAAAAATAAAATTTCTACCCCCGAGAAGGGGTGTCAACCCCCAACAGGGTGGAAGCGTCAATCGGGGCTATGTCACTAATGTTCATTGACCTTTTCTCTAACTATCTGCCAAATTTCAAGTCGATCGGTTCAGTTTCAAAAAATTCCGTGGTGAAAAGCTTCAATGACTACTACAAAGTACATCAACAAGACAAAATGCTTTAAAATAACATCAGAAGTAAATAGGAAAGTTCGGAAAAAACAAAGATCGATGACCCATGAGGTCAAAGGTGTGTCACCCAGTGTTCAAAAGCCAATGGCCATGGGAGCCATAGGTCGTTGATCTGTCATAATATTTTCCAGGGGAAAGGTTGCCGTTGTTACATATTAACTACAAAACAAATGGCACTACGTCATTTGTTGAATATTGTCAGAATACAAAAAAACGGAATTAACGATTTTGGACTGTCCTGAACTTTTGCAGGTGTTTTTGTTTCCCATACATTGCCTTTAAAATATCGTCAAAACAATTGAATATTATCAGTTATATCTTCCTAAACACTTAAGAAACGCCTTGTAGTCTTCCAGATCTACATCTGACTTAAAAATAGGGCGTCTACAGATTACAGTTGCTATGCCGCAATCAGATATAAATCAAATACGAATCATCCGATAAATACGCCTTCAAAAGGTATAAAAACTAGGAAAACTGTCGCAAAGCCATACACCAACCATGTCTTCGTACAGAACCGTAGCTATTCTAGTTCTCTTCGTCGCCTTGGCTAACGCCAAGATCTACGACAGGTGTGAATTCGCCAGAGAGATCCAGACCTATGGGGTACCCTACGAGCAAGTCGCCGTGTGGACCTGCATAGCCCAGCACGAGTCCGAGTACAACACAGCAGCGGTCAACTGGAGTTCTGGGGACCATGGGATCTACCAGATCAGCGAGCTCTATTGGTGCTCTACTTCCGATACACCTGGAGGCGGTTGCAACGCTCTTTGTTCTCAGTTCGAGGACGACTACATCGGGGACGACACAGCTTGTGCACAGCTCATCTACGGACAGATGGGTTTCCCAGCGTGGACCACTTATCAGTACTGTAATGGAGATGTAAGTTCATACATTGCCGGGTGTTGATTTGGTTTGAATTCGTCTTTGTAATTTGTAAATATGTAAATTTGATTGAATAAAGCAAGCTTGCACAATATTCACTGCACTAATTTCTGGTTACAACAGTGCTATCATCAAAGTTTGAGCATACATTTTTGCCAGTGTCTTGTAGTGGAGTAAAATCGGTGCCGAAATATTAATTTTCAAAAAATCAACGTATTTTAAATAAGACGGGAGACTTAAATAATAATAATAGTTGAGATATTGCGAATTGATTGTGAAAATAAATTGAGTATATTAAACATTAATTTTTGTTACTACGTACAACAAAATAGTATTCTGGTAAAATCTGTAGACACCGATGTATTTGTATTGCTGATATTCGCTTTTTATTGGAAATTCATGGAAATAAAAAGTGAATTATTTCCTTGCCAGGAATAGTGAAAAAACAGGCAGACAAATTTGCAATTGCTTACATTGCTGCATGTCCTAATACGATACGATACCACAAATGCATTTTTTAAGATAGGAAAGAAGACTGCATTTGATATCTTCATCAAAAACCCATAAGATCCACTTCTTATTTGTGGAAGGGCGAAATGGGCGGTGACTATTAGACGCCTTCATTATAGCCATCTTTCTCTACCTCACGGATTTCTATGACTTCCGATGAACCATGGGGACTTTCCGACCCTGTACAGTAATTCCTACAATATTTAAATTAAGTGCCAATTGAGAATTAAATAAAGTAATAGTGGTGTTTTTCAATAATTGTTACGACCTCTCGAACAAGTTAAGGCAGGTAATTTTGGACAAATTATTTGAAAAACTTATTTCTTGACGACTTTCTTATTGAAATATGACGTACATCTACCTTTCTAGGCTGAAGCGATGCGAGATAAAGTTTGTAATATTGTAATACAGTATATGTAATATTGAACGTAAAGGAAATTCTATTTAATAAAAATACACGTGTTGTTTTTTGTTATTGTCGATACCTAACATCATTAATCATCAGAATCGAAGTTTACATAATTCCACCTTATCTATTAATCTACGAAATGATTGAATAAATACCTATAATTATGTTTTTTTATATCCTATGCTTACAATACATCCAATCCTGTTATATCTTCGTCAAGTTAACGTCAACTCACAACTACCTCTATCCCTTTATACAGAGTGTCCGCAAATTTCACCGAAGATAAACAAATACGGTCTACGAAATAAAAACTTTTTGGTTTTTGAGTTACAGGCCTTCAAAGTTGTCAAAATCGCGTTAAAATTTGGCACATTTATTTGGACTATTGTGGCATATTATTTCTTAAAGCTTTAGTCAAATCGATATACTGGGTGATAGTTTCCTCCGGACACTTCACAATTTGCATTGCAACTCGTCGTGAATATGTCGGCAAACGTTGTCGGTGAAATTTGCGGACACCCCGTATAAGTGCAGTAGTTTTACTAGAGCTTGACACTTCGTTGGGCAAAAAGAGCGTCGAGATAGTGAAGGCTCTGGAGTTATTTTGGCGGAAATACAGAACGAGTCGAGTTTTTGTTTACGTCAAACAGACGAAGCTTTTCAAAATCGCTTTAGAAACACATAGGGCAGTCCTAAGGACTTCAGAATATCTAAACAATCACCAAATATGTCGAAAGCCCGTAAAAACACTGTACTGAAGTCCATTATTCATTTGCGACAAATTTAGACAGATAAATGATTTTTAAATTTAAATTTCTTAGTGACGCCACTGACTGCGCACAGGAATGTCAAACTATACGTATAGTAAAGAGGAGGTTGTGATTGAAACTGTCTCTTATTGATAGTTTTAATTTTAACCATACAGCATGCTCAATAAGTCTGTGTAATCTGGAATAAACTCTTTAATCTGGACAAAAATAATCTGGATTCAACTGTATTCTTTACTGAATATTTTTCTGCGAGAACCAATACTGTCGTCAGTATGTTGCTATAATCTTTTCCCGTCAGATTTCGTCATGCTTTACGTAGATTCTCGTCATTAGAGAGCAATACATTTTTCTATTATGCTTCATTGTGCAATAATTCAGCATTAAGTCCTTGCGTCAATTTTTTTAAATTCTATAGGCTCTCGAATAGATAAGTATGAGATAAGAAAGAAAACAATAGACGAAAAATGTTTCTATGTAATTATTAGTCGTCCCTAAATGAGGCCTTTTTAAGTAAGGGGGTCAATGGTAATGAAAACCCAGATTTTCATTGGTTGTTATGTCACAAGTATGTTTACAACTTAAGATAAAAATGCAATTTATATACCAAATAATTGTTATCAGTTTATCAGTTCACTCAACCTACTTGATTTTTTTCTCGAAGACTATGTAGTATCTGTATATTTAATCTTAGTGGTTTTTTTCTGACATTTATAAAAACCTAAGCCCTTAATTATATCGAAGCGAGGTTTTTGGGATTTATTAAGTCAAGCAGCTAGATGTTTTTAAAGTCAACCTTTTTTTTTTAATGAACTACTACACTTGACTTGATTTTTACCATGACTTCTTGATGGCAATGCAGTTTGAAAACGACCAAAACATATATTTCCCTTATTTTAGAAAAATATTAAAGCAAAATTCACTTGCGCGGAATATCGCCAAACCTAGTACGTAAATCAGAATATGTTTACATTTCATATATTCCTTTCATATATTATATTCAGTTTCATATCATGTTGAACTTGTTGAATATATTGTCTGTAATGGTAGGTGCCATTGTTTCAAACAGTACACCCGCAGTAAATCATAACTATAACCCATCACTGACAGGTGAACGACGCAATATTTTGCGGATATTTATGGTTTCATTTCACCTGAATAGACAACGATTTGACTACAGGTATGTAGTTATTATGGATCGATTACGTGTTAACTTTTTTTTGTTTGTTGATCACAAATTAGAAGCAACGGAAAATGCCATTGCGCATAAAATATAATGCTATAAACATTTCAGTTAGGTAAATATTCGTATGTTGTATACCTGTATCAACGACGAAATTATACATATACGCCTACTAACAATAGTCGCGAATTTGTCACGTCTATTCAAATGAATGGATTATGAACCGATTATTTCTCTGTATTTGTGTAGATGCAAGAAAATGGGGTATGAAATAAATCTGAAACTGTCTCGAGAAGCAAAATGGAGAAGGAAAAATCGTGATTGGATATGAACACCCGATATACACTAGGCATAGAAATTAAGGGATATTAAAAAAATTCCAAAATTTTTAAAGAGAATAAAAAACAAGGAAATTGAAGCTTCAAGTGTCTAGTTTTTGGATCTGGAGTTTAAAAATTTTTAGCGTCAGCAGTTTTTGAGTAATTATCAGAAAATCAACAAAAAAACATTGCAAATTTTTGCTTTTCTTAAAAAAGGTCTATAGACTTAAATTTTTGGTAATTTCACCATAAAGCTCTTTTAGATAATTTAATTGTCTTCAATTTGAGTGATTCCGGAGGCGGAGTTATCGTCGATCAAAGCAAAAAAATCATTTTTGACTTTGGCAATCAGTTACTCGGGAAATAATGGTCGTAAAGAAAATCCAAGCAGGGTTTTGAAGACTGCAAAGTTAAGTCGTAATTATTGGTTTTTGATAAAAAAAAAAAGTGAAAATGTTGGTTAGAAAGAAGGTAGGTATAAAATTGCATAATTATTTGAATAACTTGGCATAATTTTGCAAATAACGAATAAATTAAGAATATTGACTCTAACTTTTCAACCTCAAAGTGTCCTAAAGAAACCCTGACAATTTCAAAACGCTGCGATTTTTTTTTTTGTTAATGTTCGGAATGTTTAAATTTGTCGTTTTTGTTGAAAATCACTCTAATAAGTAATTTTTCACTTTTTATTAATTTTTTTAAGTTAAAAATGTTTTTATTAGCAATTTCATCAAAAAAACGATCATTACTTCAAAAAAAAATAAAAAAGAAATCAAAAATTGGTTTTAAACAGATTTTAACAAACACTGGTAAGGTTCTGAATAACGGCGGCTGCGTTTGTTTGGAATAATTTTTATTGCGTTCAGGTTTCTGACTTATTTATAACAAATAAACGGATAAAATGACCATAATTCAAATTATCAAGATGTCTTGCGTGATCTTGTGCTATCACCAAAATTTCTATTCAAACAGAATAGTCGCTACATGACTCACAGTAATAAATCCAAGTTAAAAATATAGTAATAACTCAATTTAGAGGTGAAATAATTTCGCCAGTCAAGGTCGAAGAGATCTCTTTGTAATTTTTTCGACACTTGCAATACGGTAAAAAGAAACACGGCAAATTCTTGTCTGATCACAGCCCGATTTGATGAGGAGATTCGAGTCTCAGTATATTAACAGGGAACGAAACTTTGTTTTTCATCATTTTCAAGAAGAGCCTACTCCAAAAGGGAGGATTGAGACTGGAAAATATAACATATGCCAATCGTATGGGTAGGTAATAATATAAAATTTGATATTCATCTGGCATCTTCATCATCATAGTTCTTCTTTTACCTAGGTGTTTTCGCCAGTGACTTAGTCCTCAAAAATTTTTTAACTACTTTATGTAAAAACGACTATGCCACATGCACCTGGGTATTTTTTCATTGAAATCTTGAATTACTTGAGGATAACTATTATCACCCTTAACGTAGCACTATATTAAATATATTTTTTCCTGTAAAGTTAGCATTTATCCGATAATTAATTACTGTCGGGGATTTTTAACCAAGTACAGTAACACAAGTGAAGAATAAAATGTCACTTTATTCACAACCTTGAAACAACTTTTCCTAGTGATACTTTTCAGAAATATTAAAAATTTCTGTGTGACATAAAGTACCTGCAATGTTCCTAGTTTTTTTTTTCTGTGGAATACCAGTACCTACTCGAAAGCTAGCTTTATCATTTGGTAATGAAGATTCCGATTAGATATCGGAATATTTAAGAGCCAAAAATAAATTTGGAATATTCGCATCGGTGACCAAAGAATGCTTAATCGCAAAGCTATCTAAAAACAAAATCTCTAAAAACAACTTATATTAGACAGGTACATAAAAAAGTTATCTGCTAATCAGCAATTACTCTTAATAAGAGTGTTACTCGAGCTTGTATAGATATGGCATTTTTCTGTATTCGTATCATGCCTAGTGGACAGAAACATGCATTTTTGGAATCATACTGCCATATTACATTACAGGAAAAAGTTTTAGTCTATTTTAAAGGCACATATGTAAGAATAATAGTTGAAATATGAGCACCAGGTTCAATCAGTGTATTTTGGCAAGATAAAGTAACATCCCAAATCGCATTCGCCTATGTTCCTCCAGTTGTGAGAAATAAAATAAAAACTGAATTTTTGCCTACCTCTAATAATGTAATACGCTCTATTGGTATTGATAATATACCATTTTTATTTTTTTAAATAAAATAAGTTTAATTTAATTAATTTGAATAGTAAAAATTGTACGATTCGAAAAAATCCTTAAATCTCAATGATCAACAGTGGCTATAAATAATTGGAAAGATAATACATGTATTAACAATGAAATTAAAATACTGTATTATAATTAATAAACATTTTACAAGGAAATATATTTTAATAATTATTTAACAAATGGATTAATTTATAATAACAAAAGTACCTATTAGTACCTACCTTAATATATTCATGTTTAATGGAAATATTAAACAATACAAACTATCAAAATTACTATGTTTTAACAATATCATCAAATTTTATTTGATAGATAGATTTAATCCTACGATATCAAACAATTCGTATCTGTTTTTCAATGAGTGTTTTCATACCAACTGTATAATTTTATCTTAACCTACCTAGTTGCTCTCGTGTTGTGATCTATGTAAGCAGCGAGTCAAGATCATAAAAAAATGGTGCGGAAGACGTTTTGCTCAATAAAAGTGCTTCTGATTACGACTTTGGCGTTGCTTGTGGTACTTGTTGGTGTCTTGGTGCTCTCATTTGTTGGAGTTCCTAAAATTATTGACAGTCAAGTGAAAAGTGTAAGTTCAATATGGGATATACATTTGCGTGGTAATTTATAAATGCTGAGGCTTTTGAAATTGCGGATTTATCAGTATAAAAGTTAAGTTAAAGTCTGTGTCTGTAGGAAATATTTACCACAGTTTCCTTGGTGAAGAAAAGTGTGAAAGAAACGATTATTTACTAAAGTAAAATTTTTGTAGAATGCGTTTTAAATTTGTTAAATTACTTACAAAATATTATTTTACTTTTTAAATTACCTATATGTGCTAAAACCCTTCACAGTTATTCAAAATTTTTGCCAAATATTTCAAAAACTATCTGAAATGCTTTTCGACAAAAAAATAGTACTAAATGTCTAACAAATGTCTTACAGACTATGTTTATGTGACAAAATTTCGCGACTGGCTTGAATTCTAAGCTCCATTTTGTAACCTGGCAAAAAAACCTGACAACTAATTAGAGGAGGAAAATTCCAAAGCATTACATAAACCAAAGTGGACATTTTGCCTTGAGCCACTGACTGTATTAAGACAAAAAGCTAGATAAAGATAAGTGTCCTTCAGTAACACAATACCTACATTTATTAAATTAAATTCTAAGATTAAAAATATTGGTGATAAGTTTTGAATCTGACAGATACGAAAGAAGCTTTTAACTTTTCATCATTTAATGTCAAAGATAATCGTCTGACATTAATTAGAAGTAGTTCAAAGAATATAACTAAAAAATTTGAATAAATAACATTAATTAATTTATGTTCACCTTATTGTTACAAAATTAAATCAAAATGTTGTTGATGAAATCAGGTATTACACATAATTTCGTGTGATACCTGTTTGATCCAGATTATCGATAATTGAGTTTTAAATTTTTTTATGACATCGACTAAACTACTATTCTATGAATTATTTTCTATAAAAATGTACCTTCTATTAAAATTATACCTAATTAGAGAAATTCTATAACAATTACTTTTTGTTATTTTATGTTAATTATCTAACGACTCCAGAAAATAAATGAAGTGATCAAATTGGTGATTTTATAGTTGACCCTGCGACGAAAATCGACTTCTAAACCGAGTACAAAAGTACTAAAGTACAACTATTACAAAAATAATGCCGCCAAACAAAAAATACTTCAGAAAGATAATAAGAAGTAGCAAGATAATTCAGTGAAACGTTGAAATTTTTTAAGGGCATGGTAAACATGTTCATTGTTTTCCAATTAATTTTTTACGGTTTATTGAAAATGTTTGGAAATTATTGGTTATCATTTCTATGACTTACATGCGTTATCATGAATACTAATACATTTTGAGTATCATAAATTATACATTCCTTGAAATTTTTTCCTGTCCCATTTCTATAACATAGAGCTATTTATTCGACATTTACTGAACTTTGTAGTTAGCTTTTATCTGTTCAGTTTCGAGTAGCCACTTTCTGGATAAAAATAACAAGTAGTTCTTGGAAGTCGTGTCGGAATATAAAAGTTTATCGTTTCTAATCATACCTATTTATTCTTGTAGGTGAAGATTTCTAATGAAATATGATTCGCTTGATGTATTTTGGAATACATAGAATCAAGTCATAGCTAGTCCAAATTAAAGCGGCTTAAAAAACATTCAATTTGATTGAAAGATTAAAATGAAATTGAAAACTAAACAAATCTTATATCTCACCTATACTCAACTGCACGTCTGTATAGTTAACACATCAAAGCATCTACACCACACTCATGAGAACTAATAAGTACGAAACCGGTATATGTCTGGTGGTTCTGCTGAGTTTAACTTTGAAAATTTTGCATAGGTACGTGTATATAGAAAACTAGACGTGCCTCAAAGTGAGAAAAGTACTTTTCCAACACAGATAACACTAACTTTGCACGTAACAAGAGCTGTCACATTTCCTGTGACATAATTTTTCAGTTGCCTATTTTCATAGGGCATAGCCTGCCTCGTTATGAAAACAATAATCTTTACAAATACTCAGATATTTGGAATTAATAAAAAATGAAACATTGCAGTTATTAAAAAAAACATTATCAAAATATAGCTAGTACTTTTTTAAAGACATATTGGTATAGTTTCACAATTTAATTTTAGCTTGGACTATATCAATATTATTCAAAGAACTAAATAAAGGGGGATATTCTAGAACAACTTCACTATTTTAGCAATAACTCGAAAACGAAAAAAAGATATCGACCTCCTGTTTATGTATTTGTTTTCCTCAGTAAATGGTCTATCAAGCCATGAAAAAAGCCTATATCGTTGCATTTAATTTTTTTAGTAAACGGAGATAATTACAAAACTTTTCTAATTAGCATCGTCTACCGTTGCGTAGGAAAATAATATTTTAATTGCCATATCATAAATATAAATTTTATTAATAGTTCTGTCGTTTCTTGAAATCGATGAAGGCATTTAGAAGTTATGACACTTTACAAATTTCAAGATGGCGTCCTTCATACTGGCGTTGCTATGGTAATAACAAAAAAAAGTTCAAACTAGTGAAGGGTTTAATAGTGTATCTAAAAAGTGCGTTTTAAACTTAGGTTATATAAGCGAAATTTCGAAAAAAGGACAATTTTCTGTAACACTATAGCAGTTGCGCCCTCTAGCGGTGAAGTTACAAACTTGAAGATATTTTAAATCAATTTCTTTTGGCCGTATTTGTTAATAGATTTTTTATTCCATGATCGTAGCACATCTAGTTTTCTCGGTACCGTTAAAGGATCACCCTGTACATCAATCTATATTTATAGGTGATATAAAAAATAGCTGCCAATAAACAATATTCCTTACAAATATACAAATACCTAAAAGTTGTAAATATTGTATAATTTTTAATCCACAAGACCAATCATGATCGTACGTTCATAAGAAATAAATAACTAAGCAACTAAGATAATGGCAAACACGAGATATTCAGAACAATTTTTTCAGTCAGTCCAGTTAGAGAAAGGAACAGAACAATGGGACAGATTCGTGGAACTGCCCTTCCCACTCCATTTTAAGGTATGGCTTTTCAATGTAACGAATCCTGAAGAAATCCAGAAATCGGCCAAGCCTATTTTGAATGAAGTTGGACCTTATTATTATGAGTGCGTATTACTACTGTTTTGATCAAAATTATAATAAATAAGCAAATAATATGTTGCATGCATTCAAATTGGTTAAATACGTATGTAATGCTTTTTATTATATTATATGATTTATATGATACCTATTTAGACCAGGGCGGATCTGTTTTGAGGTGGATGTGGGAGGGGGTAAGCAAATTTTTTCTGTATTACCTTCAGTACAACTCAAGTAATAAAAGTGTATATATAGATCCCTAGATCTGGGTGAGGCCCGGAACATTTTTTCAAAATTGCAAATAATTTTTAAAAAATTTAAAAAAATACCCATTGTATCTGAGATTTTTACTTATATTTTGGAACCTATGCGTTTTAGAAGAACATTGAAGAGGAAAAAAGTTTTAGAATTGAATTTTGTACAATATACTGTAAGTTAAAAATGTTTAAATTTATTACCGACGTTGCAAAATAGTAATAATTGATGAAAAAGAGGTCAATCAAGTTTTTTGGATAATTTTTTTTAAATATTTTAATTGCTCCGAGGGCATTCTAATTTTGGTAAAAAAAAACTTTAGGGTATAATAAAACAACACACCAAATTTCATTAAAATCGGTTCTATAGTTTTCGCAAAATAATTTTTTGAAAATTATTGCTATTTTGCAACGTTGGTAAATAAATTTAATAATTTTTAACTTACAGTATATTATGCAAAATGCAATTCTAAAACTTTTTCCCACTTCAATATTCTTCCAAAATGCATACGTAAGTATAAGTAAAAAAGTCAGATAAAACAGGTATTTTTTAAAAATTTTTAAACATTTTTGCAATTTTGAAAATATTCCTGACCTCCCCCAGATCTAGGAATCTACACTTTTATTATGCGAGTTTTATTAAAGGTATTTCAGCAAAAATTAGCTTGCCCCCTCTTACAACCAAGAAGTGGGGTATTTGGACAGATCCGCCCTGGTATAATTATAGTTTTGGGAAAAAGCTAGAATTATATTTGATTGAATCTGCAAATTGCAACTTATTTGCCATCGAAACTAATCCATATGATTTATTTATTTTCATATTTTCTAGTGAAACCGTGATAAAAGATATTATGTTATATAACCCCTCTGACGATACTGTAACTTACAAACGGAAGCTTTCCTTCGCCTTCAACAAAGAGGAATCAGGTACTCTAACAGAAGATGACGAATTGGTCCTCTTGAATCCTGTCATGTTGGTAGGTACTTAGCATTTATTATTAACACAAATAACAAACATTTAGGTTAACCCCAGCCTCTTAATTCAAATGTTTAAACGTAAGATCGACCCTTTTAGAGCATGTCGCAATTGACGACTGTATTGGAAAGGATGGCACTGGGAGGATGTTTGGACAGGATATTTCCCGATCGTTACAACAACCTCTTCATAAAAGTCAAAGTGGGAATGATGCTCTTCGAAGGGTACGAATTTGCTGTTAAGCATGATGACCTGGGGGTGGCATGTGGCATCATAAGAAACAAAGTCATACAGAAAACTGCGAACATTAGGAACATAGAAAAAGTATACAAAGATGGGAAATTATATTCGCTGAGGTTCTCTTTCTTCCATTATGTAAGTATTAGGTACGCGAATGAACAGATACGGAACAAGATAATTGTGTCGTCTTAGTCCAAAGTTGTTTTATTTGAAAGTTAGAGAGTACTTCAGTGAAATTAAAAATAAATGTGTTTATATTCGCGAAATTACTTAATTATCTTCATATTTGATATGAGGTACAATAGTACATCCTTCTATTAGCACATAAAATGTCTGTTCAACAAGTCTGAAATGAAAATAATGAAAAGAATGAAGAATGATGAAAGAATGAAAATGAAAAGAAATGGTACGCCATATTTTCAACCATATTTTCTGGGCTAAAACGTGTGTTACTGCTCCCATAAAAAAATTAAATACATTACTGGAGTATGTTATATAGGGTATTAGAAGTTTTACTGCCTTAATTTTAACAGACGATAGAATACATTAAAATAAAAAAAAAATAGACCTTATATGACATGGGTTCTAAACTTAACCATTTCCGAGAAAAAAATTACAACGTATTATATTAAATATATATGAATGTTTGAACATTGAAAATATTGAGCAATGCGATAAAAAAAGTTAGGAAACGGATTAACGAATCAACTAAGATATCCAAAAAAGGCCAATTTTTCGCGTAATTAAAGAAGGATTGATCAAGGGTCAAAAAGGAAACGGAAAAATACAAAATTAAAGAAACTAAATTATCGATCTAGACTAGATAAACAATATTGTAGACAATTTCCTATCTTTCAGAAAGAAAGTCCCGATGGTGTATATAGCGTGTCAAGAGGCGTCGACGACATTTCAATGTTAGGACACATACGCAGGTGGAATGAAGCCATTCAGCTGCCCTTCTGGGGTAGATCGATTTCCTTTAATAACGATACGTGCAATACTGTCAGGGGTACAGACTCTACAATTTATCCACCTTCTATAACCGAGAACTCAGAATTGGACATATTCAACACTGATATATGTAGGTAAGTGCAAAAAAACAAAAGAACGTTTTCCAGAATACTAATCTGAAATTATTTCCTTAATCTTTAACGAATCAAATAGTCTTTAAGTTTGGTCTACGCCGTTACTGGGCGGCTCCTGGTCTCAGTTGTTCGTGCGCGAAGTGCTACCTGTCGTTTTAATTTAAATCGACAAAACTACGGTGGAAAATAATTTTGTAAAAACAGATTGTAGGACTTTGCGGCTTACTATTTTAAAGTGGCAATATTTTTGGAGGAGAAAGTTAAAAAAATTACAGAATTCGACAACAACAGTTATATATGCTCTTTTTTGTCATTGGAAACCATATATTGATTTGCCGTCCCTACACGGACAGCACACAGTGTTACAATCATAGCCGAAATGCGGAGGTTTACAATTTTTCTTCCTATTACGATATCAAAAGTCCTCCGATCGGACCATTCCAGCGCCCAGCGGTCGCTACCGAACGTTTGTTACACTGTTGGAATTTCCGTATGTCTTACGGTTATACTACCGATTAATTTAACGATTCCAATGAAATAATGGAGTGTTTAAAGAAAAATTAAAATTTTTTCGACGATTTATTAAATATTAGCAGTACTTATTTTTTTATTTAAATCAATTATGTGATGTAGATAACCAATTTTGTATACTGTTTGGTATATTATTACCTAATCTAATAATAAAGCGTGAACATAATTCTAAATGTTACATATAATTATGTAATGTCTGTATTATGTAATTATGTAATTATGTAATTATGTAATTATGTAATTATGTATGTCTATTCATTTAATATACCTATTCAGTTAATGAAGTGATACCCCTTTCCATTAGACCTTATTGGACTTTCCATGGGCTTAATACAACACAATTTAATCAATTGTTTTATTAAAAAACATAAATCGAACCCTTTTAAAAATTACTCCCAACGTTTTTCATTATTATGAGGTAGTTATTGATAAAAACGCATGACATTTTTTTCCAACACAGAAATCATACCTTTTTAATATTATGTGTGAACTCCTCAATGAAATTTTAATGGTAAAATGCAGGGGTATTGATTATAACATTAGTGGACATTTTTTTTATTTCACAAATCGATAGAGAAGTCGACGACGGCTTTACAAATAGCAACACGCGTTCCTTTGTAGCAACAATATAAAAATATTCATACAGTAATTATAAATGTACACATGAATGTTGTCGATTTTGATGTAGATTTATACACGTATCATAAACTGGCATTGATATTTTTATTTAAAATGCTAGAAGTTACCAAACTTCGACAATAATTATTGTAATACTTCTAAAATAGGTTTATACTATGCCTTGTTAGTTTGGTAAAAATATTATTCTTTGACTGAAAACTAATCAATAAATTATATATATGAAGTATAAACAATGTATATCATCTTGTAAAAATTTAAAATCCAGTCCTGTCTCATATCTGTTTCAGTTTAAAGCAACCAACAATGCACATAAGCAGATAATTATAGTCTAATATTTCGATCGCGATCTGGCGATAATCTAAAACAAATGAAATACGAAAACGTTACTAAGCGTAGGCTATGAAATGCATAATTCAAACAAGCCAACTATCTTTAAAAAGTTATTTTCTTTTTTAAATACTATCTTTTGATAAGATGTTTAGGAAATGTTTTGAATTACCTTACCAGAGTACCTTAATACATAAAGTAAAAACATAAGCTACTTTCTATTAAAAGTAAGATAGTTAAATTTATAATAATTTGTTTTATTTTTTTTGGAATCTCGTGCACATATTTTTATACTTACCTTACATATTCAATAGCTATAAAGGTGGGAATTTTTTTTAACTGAAAAATGCGTCTAAAGAAATCATAGTATGGCATAACAATACCCATTTAATATTTCTACGAGATTCTACAAATTACGGATTAATAAAACATACAAAAAAATGAAAGAAGCTTTTGTACCACATAAATTACTGATGTGGCAATTTTTTATTGAAATGCAGTATTTTCAAATGTGCAATTAAAATTTCTATTTATATTTAATGAATGACGCACTGTTAAAAAGTTTAATACTTGTTTGTTTATTGTGCACTATTAAAAAAAGATTATTTTCATCTTAATGATGATAAAATTGTTATCTTGTTTGCTACCTTTGCCAGATTTGGAGAAATCATTGTTTACGAGTTAGTAAAAATATCAATGCGCACCAAACATATAAAAAATGTATTTTTTGTTAGCCAATAAATAATTGCATAGACACAGGTTAAATATGTCCTGGAAAATTGATTTTTGAAAGGTCAAGACACAAACACACAGAAAATACAATACCCATTTTAATAAATATTAAATTTATTAATTCACAAGAACAATATAAAACAAGAAAAGTTGCTCAACAATATCTACATACATTAAAAGTGCATTATAAAAATTATATGCGTATTTGGAGTCTTAAAATTACCAGTACTTCTGCAAAGATTTCACAAGATCCTTCGGATTAGTATTGGGCCCGTGCCTCTCGACCGGCTGCCCATTTTTGTCGACAATAAACTTGGTGAAATTCCACTTGATGAAATCCCCAAGGGTGCCGCCTTGCTTGTGCTTCAAGTACTTCCAAAGGGGATGAGCATCGTTTCCGTTGACATTCACCTTTGCGAACATGTCAAACTTGACATTCTTAGTCTGCATGAATTGGCAGATATCCGCGTTTGATCCTGGTTCCTGTCCCGCGAACTGATTGCAAGGGAAAGCGAGAATTTTCAACCCTTTGCTCTCCGCATATTCATTGTGCAATTCCACGAGTTCCGCGTAGTTGTTCTTCGTTAAACCGCATTGAGAAGCAACGTTGACAATTATACATACGTGCCCTTTGTACTTTTCCAAAGAAACCGGGTTACCCTGTATGTCGTTTGCGGTGAATTCGTAGATGGATTTGGCTTCTTTAATATTCTCCGGATTGGTTTTGGGCGTTTCCTCTGTCCCCTCGGCACTCATGATTGTTTGGTTCGTATCCCAGCAAAACAAACTTGTTAGTAAACTAAATAACTGCAAGCCGGGTACCAACATTAATTATTTATGTGTCAGTTAACACGACTTACATGCGCACAAGGACGTAGTTAGCTGTTTGTGTGCGGCACCGATAAACAACATGGCGTACGCAGTTGTAAAATTCGTACAGAAACGGATTAAGGAAAATTTATCCGGCATTAATAGCAAGTAAATAGTTAACGGGTACCTACTTTTAAATCGTAAGATGTTGTCTCTCTTTTAATCTAAATATTTTAAAATTTGCTTTAGTATTCTACCAAAACAGGTATAATTAGTTTTCTCTAAAACTGAATACTCTTGCCAATATTATTTAAAAAAAAACCTCTAATCCCATTACGCTGCCGATACATTTGTACATTTAAAGCCTGAACTCTAGAAGTATTACAAGCCTGTACGCCTGATCTTATCAACTATCATTATTTACATTTGCGGGTAAAACAGAGATTTTTTAGAGAAGTATATTATTGTTGCCACTTTAGATAATAATAACTAAATCATCCTTTCTGTCAATAAATTATTATCTGATGGTTACTTTGCATTAAAAAAATTAATGACTGTTGGAATTATTTTATCTAGGTACCTGCCATTGATTTAGCCACTTGTCAAAGTTGCAAAAACCGTTCTTAAATCTTCTGTTTTGTAAGACAAGTTAATATTTTTGTACAACAGAATGTTTCAAAACATAATTTACTGTTAGATTTAAAAAAATGGTTTGATTTATAGGCCTATCGCACTTTGTTTTTAAAATACAGTGCTAAAGATGATTTTTTTAAATCAGATTTTAGCCACATCGTTTCCGAAATGTAGTATAATGAATTGAAATTTGCTGAAGTTGAGTATTTAAGGGTGTCAAATGCATTAATGTTGTTGCCCGCTAGAGGTCGCCAGCTACGGTCATACATAACTAGTGACATTTTTTGACAACTAATTTAAAGCTAGGTTTTGTGCGACGTACGTCACATATTAGACTATCGTGTACTAGTAAGTAACTGTAAACATGTTTTTAAGATCTATAAAACTTTGCTATCTTTGCCATCTCTATTCATTTACGATGTTTGTGACAAAAGAAATTTCATTTTAAACAAAGACATTCGCACCGTTAACCGAGGCAGATTGATAAATTTTATGTACCTCTCAATTCACTTGAGGTATTAGAACAGGTTGCCCGGAAATGAATGGACCACACTTCAATGATAGTTTCCTTATAAAAAATAAACCAATTTCCATCAAGTTACCTAAGTATAATTTTCCTTCCTTAAATGATATGACTGGGACAGTCAATTGCATTTTCTTTCAGTAAGGTCGTAAGGTGCCTTATCAACAAAGAAGTACATTTTTTATGTTAAAAATGACATTTTACGTTTAATATACTATAGGACATACACCGTACGAAACCTAACCTCAAAAAAGTTGTCTTGAAATGTCACTAGATAGAGTACCAAATTTCAATGCATACACTATTTTTTGGAAAAGATGACTCAAATTTTATTGTTTAAAAACCATTTTCGACACTCTTTATCTCAATAGCAGTTATTTTTTATGTTATCAGTTCCTGAATTCATGATACTTTTTCCCAAGACACTAGCACTAGGCACTTTATTTTTACTAAATTGGTGTTAAATAGTAAATTTGTTTGACTTTCCACACCACATTAAATTTTGTTTACATATTTTAATGTTTTATGAGTAATCTTGTCAACATAAATATTTGTTTTTAATTAACTAACTATTTTTAGACATGTTTCCAGTCTCGCAATGATATCTACTAATATTAAACATATTTTTTATCCAACAAATAAGATAATATTGCTGTAGATTTGCAATATAGGTCCATATATCAAATTTTATGCATTGTAAAATGACAAGGATATTAATAATGATTGTTCAATTCTATAAAATAAATCCATAACAAATAGATGACATAAATTGTACGAAATTACAACAAAAATTTGGAGTAGTTCTTTCCACCATTCATTTTAAATAGTTTTTGGGGTAGTAATATTAACAGCTTTAAAGCCCATGACAAAATGGTGCAACATAAAGTTAATTGTCTCCAAAATACTAGTAAAAATATTGGCACTAACTAGTGTAATATATAAAAACGATTTAGGTATTTCAAGCATTTATTAATATAGACATACATAATAATACGTGTCTGATAAAATATTAAGCACTACAATACCTATATAACAATAAATATTTATCTGCGGTCTACAACATAGATTATTCATCAGTCTGCAACGTACTTTACCAATATTTCTCCAAAGACTTCACCAAATCTTTAGGATTTGTGCTGGGTCCGTGCCTTTCCACAGGTTGTCCATTTTTATCAACCACGAATTTGGTGAAGTTCCATTTGATAAAGTCGCCCAAAGTCCCTCCCTGTTTGTACTTCAGATAATTCCACAGCGGGTGGGCCTCGCTCCCGTTCACGTTGACTTTTCCGAACACGTCGAACTTAACGTTTTTGCTCTGGACAAACTGGCAAATCTGCGCGCTGTCTCCCGGTTCCTCGTTAGCGAATTGGTTGCAAGGGAACGCCAGGATCCTCAACCCCTTACTTTCTGCGTATTGATCGTGCAGCTCCACCAGCTCGGCGTAGTTGTTCTTCGTGTAGCCGCACTGGGAAGCGACGTTGACTATGATGCATACGTGCCCTTTATATTTTTCCAAAGACACATCTTCGCCGTTCAAGTCTTTAGCGCTGAACTCGTAGATGGACTTGGCTTCTTTGTAATTCTCGGGGTTCGACATCTTCGCTGATACTACTGCTAACGCACGGCAAGCGAAGATAGCTTTGCTTATGGTCTTAAAACTGAGAACTAACATTTATATACCATAACAACAACAACGCACGACGTACGAGACCAACAGCTCGTACTTTTTAGATTATAGATTGGTACCGGCACAGGTTATGCGTACATGAATCGGGAAAGCAACGTTGTCAAATGTACAGGAAATAAGTAAATGTACACGCATAACCTGAACTACTATGATTAAGAAATACATGTTATATGCATAGGTATCTGTAAAATACAAGAATTATACATCTTTGGTGCATTACACTTGTCCAATTTCTTGATGAAGCGACTTCATCAATTAATTGATCAATAAATTGTCAATGTAAAACAGCTTTAATATAGTTATAATGACAATTTTTGGAACCCTAACATATTTCCTTTAAGTCGTCACAATATAAATAGGTTAGGAAATGATTATAACCTTATTTAATATCCTATTTCGTATTAGCATGTAAATAAATCAATTTGGTGATAAAAATTAAAAATAATTCGGTCCCGCTTGGATTGAAAAAACGTTCATACACAAGTTAATGTGTATAAAATATTATTTCTAAAGTTAGAAATACCTTGATTCAAAATCGGACTACAAAATTTTTTTAAACAGCAGGCTAGGTATAGGACACTATTCGCTGCAGACATCACGGGTATTACAGGATAATAATAATTATTATCCATATAACACCCTAGACATGAATTTGAATGAAATTTTTCAGGACGATATAATAAAACTGGCAAACTTGGCAACATGGCATTCACTTAGAACTTAAAAATACCAGAAAATTCGAAAACTAATTCATTTTATAACTTCTAAAAAAATTAAGTGATAGATATCGCATAAATGTATTAATTTTTAAAGAAATATATTAGAATTAGAGCATAGACAGCTTGTCAGTTTTACGTAAATATTTGTAGTTATTAAATATAACTTACCGACTTTTTAAGTGACAATAAAAATTATTCCGTAAAATATTGACTGCAATAAATAATTCTCAGCTCCACCTATGATTTCTAGTGCATCTGTCTAGTCATTCTGTTAGTCATAGTCAAAGTCCAATTTACAAAACAATTTAATTTATCTTAAAGATACACAAGTCACTATAAACAATGAATACCTATTTTTATATTTTAAAAATATGTTGACTGTTACTTCAACTATGTATAAACAAATATCCACATTACAACCTTTTACCTTTTAGTCACCCAGCCTGGTAATAAAATGAGTATGTATGTAATTTACATGAAAAAATAAACGTTTATTGAAGGTAAATATTAACTAAACACTTTGTCATAGATACAGATAAAATACAAAACAATATATGAGGTATTTAGACTTAAGAATACATACAGCAAATCTTTTACCAATATTTCTCGAGATGCTCTACGAGCTGTAAGGGCTTAACGGTAGGCTTGAACCTTTCAACCACTTTTCCCTCCTTGTCTATAATGAATTTGGTGAAATTCCAGTTAATGTTGGGTCCTTTCGGCCCATCGATTTTGTCCTTCAAAAATTTCCAAAGCGGATGAGCCTTCTTACCATTGACGTCGATTTTTTCAAAAACATCAAATTCAACGTTTTTTTTCTTTTTAAACTCGCATATCTTCTTATTATCCCCTGGTTCTTGACTGGCAAACTGATTACATGGAAAAGCAAGGATCCTCAACCCTTTCTCGTCTGCATACAAGGTATGCAATTTGTTGAACTGTTCATAGTTCGACGCTGTATGACCACATCTTGAGGCAACATTTACTATGATGCAAACGTGGCCCTTATATTTCTCCAGAGACACTTCTTCTCCATTTATATCTTTGGCTGTGAATTCATAGATCGAAGAAGCATTTTTCCAGGCTTCCTCTTCAACTTCAGTGTTTATTTCCCGCTCATTTTCTGGGACTGGTTTCTGTTGCTTGGTCCTAGTTTTCTTTTTCGGGGGTTCCTCTAATTGTAGTTCATTTTCTGTCTCCACTGCGTTTGCATTTTTCTTGTTTCTGGCGCTACGCCTCTGGGACATTTTTGCAAATACTTAAAACAACTTTTAATACAAATTAACCTCAAATCAACGCGACTACCTGTTCGCGTTACCTTTCAATGTCTATGCGCATGAGCCACGAACGTGTATAACGTGTTGCCTAATATTGATGTTCTATGTCGGAAACAAACCATAGACAATATAAACATAGAATTCCATCGTATAATGATCGCCATTTTGTGGCCTTGAAATAATGTTTAGAGATGACGTAGCATTTAAAACTAATGTTTGAAGTTTGTAGAACCTGACAACTTTAAATTAATTTATGGTCGTAGGCCGTAGGTTTCGATATGAAATATCTAGGAAATAAACAATACAAATTTATAATGTGTATCTGTAAGAGAACCTTGGAGATAAATTAAAATATATCGTGTGTGTATAGTACAAACTATCCTTTAAACAAATAATGTACATATATTTTATTTCCTTTCTTTATTTTAAATCCAGAATGAATAATGAAAAGTTTTTAAAAGATAGAATAATTTATAAAACCAATACATATCTACTTTTTTCATAAAAAATAGTAATAAAAATACTATAAATAAATAATTTTTGACAATGCATCAATTGCATGTACTGGGACTATCTTTTAGAACAGATATTTAGCATAAAGAGCATACGATTTAGATACGAGAATTTTAAGATAATGTTTAGAATTAATTTCACTTCACACTAGAGAAAAAATAAATAGTTGAATATTTATTTATAGACTAGTTCTTGAAGAAAAAGAACGTGCCGATTTTAGAAGCTTTTTTTCGGACTTGTCTGGTTTTTAATGTAAGTACATAATTGAAATATTATTTTTCTTTTTAGAGTAATCAAAATTACGTATGCTGGTCAGGATACATACAAGGGAGTTGATGGTTTCATCTTTACGATTAATGAGAATACATTAAGGAACGAAACGGAATTTGCTGAGAACGACTGTTTTTGCGTACAGCAAACTTTGAATGAGCTTGGTGAATCCAGTTGCTATTTGGATGGTCTAATCGACCTGAAATCTTGTGTAGGTGAGTAATAGAATGGTTATTGTTATATAATCGCGTATCATCGAGAGAAATAAGAGAAGTGGAAAATTTACTTGCGCAATAGTGGGTATGTCCATTGCCCATCTTAATCGTCTTACATCTATGGTTAAAATTATTCCTTCTGTATATGTAACCTCTGTACACGCTTCGAGTATTGTGAGTTGTCTATATACTAAGATAAATACTAAGATAAATGTGGACAACAATTTGGAAATTTTATATAATAATTAAATATAAGTCAGTGGCGTGACAATATTTTTTAATGAGTTGAATTTCAGGTGCTCCGATTCTATTATCTTTTCCTCATTTTCTCTATGCCGATGATCATTATCGAGAAGCGGTTGAAGGCGTTGACGAGCCTGATGAATCCATCCATAAACTATATTTATTAGTTGAACCGGTATGTCCTACTGGAAAATACTTTTTTTTACGTAAACAACCGTTCTTCTGATATAATTGTCTATTATTCCTTTTAGAACACAGGCACGCCTTTGGAAGGAAAAAAAAGGGCGCAGTTAAATGCCGTTTTAAGGCCAGCTAATTTTCTCTCATTCAGTGAAGACCTTCCACAAGTGGTAATCCCAATGTTCTGGGTTGACGAGGTAAGATACTATTTTTTTTTAAATGTAGAAATGAAACTATTCAAATAAATATGAATTAAAAGAATGTAATTAAAATATTTAATAATGTTTATTTAAGGGTGTCAGTTTACCACAGAAGTATGTCGATGAATTAAATGACATGTACTTCAACAGGCTACAAATCGCTGCCGGAGTCAAATATGGTGTGATAGCGGTTACACTAGCGGCTGTAGTGACATCTACTGGATTTCTCGTTAGGAAAAAATTTTTCACTGGATAATAATATACTCTATTTTTATTATTTTTTAATAAATAAATGAAAATGCGCTGCTGTTTCATTAAAACTTGATTGAGGATAGTTGAATACACAGAATCTTGGAAATTTGCCAATGTTTCCATTGTACAAGAAATGAGTGCGAACGAATTTGCTAATTACAAGCTAATAGTGTTATTAAATGTATCTTCTCTAAAATATTTGAATTTTTTTTGCTTTATTATACAATTTCTTATACAGTTTTCTGGACCATCAAGACCAGTCCCCACTCATCGTATTTAGAAAATGTTTATCCAATATCTAGTCCAGGCTGTCCAGGCGGAGCAGTAAAAGTAGGCTTTGGCGTTTGTGTTTTCTTGTACAGAAAAATCCCAAATGTTATATGCACTAAGCGGTACTGCTTTGGCTTGGGTGACTCGTATATCCACGTAGATTTTTGGCTTTTTGACTTTCAAATATCACTAGAAATGAAAATTTTTCTATGCGCATAAAAAAAAACATGGGCTTAACTTTTGGCGGCACAATATGTTAAAAAAAATCGAAAAATGTCATATTTTTCTTCCTATTTAATTATGTATCTTTTCAAGAGTTGATTTGAGGAGAAAATGGAAGAGGAAAAAAATGTTTGTAATTAAATTTTTTACAAAATATGACTCGTTACAAATAGAATGAATCATGATTATTATTGTAAAAATCGAAAAAATTGCCAAAAATGGGGTTGAAAAGACGTTACTTTTTAGATAATTTTTTTGTGGTATTTGGGTACAGGACCTTCATACTTGGCTTAAGAAAACTTCATGTTATGTAGAATCATCACACCAAATTTCATCGAAATCGGTTCGATAGATTTTGCATAATTTGCAATCTAGATTTAAAAAAAAAAATTTGCAAATTTTCAAAATTTTGCACAGCAAAAACCAAGGCCCTTAGATACTTGAAAATTTAATCACATATAGAAGGGCTCCCAAGCTTTCAAACGCTTTTTGAAAAATTCGATTCCGTCAATTAGGAGAGCTCTGGCGCTTGTTTAAACATTGATCGATTTTTGTACTTATAAACAATTAGAATAACTGTGAAATTCAATCAAATCAAATTTTTTAAAGCACGTTTTAAAAGTTATTAAGTATGAATAAAATATTATTGATTTTTTATAATTAATTTATTAATTTAATCATCATTTCTTTTGTGGTTAAAGTATAATTAATATATTATTTATTGTTTAATATATAAGCAAATTAGAAATTAACTCATATTATATTACTAATTTTCGACATATTTTGAAAATAATTGTTGTTTAAACAATTTTAGAATATTTAAATAAATTTGTTTTTGATCTTTGATAAACAGTATATAAGTTTATACACTTACATTTGATGAAATAGAAAAATAAAGTTGATAATTAAATGAAGTTTAAAGATAAATAATTATTATCGGACTGTTGAAAGACCAATAATTATTAACGACAGGCATTTGAAAATACGTTGTTTTTTTAGATCACGAGACATTTTAAAAAAAAATCATCAAAATCGGACCTCTAGAAGCTGCTATATTAAAAATTCTTAAGCGCGTCGCGGTTTTGAACTGGCCAATTCAGTTTCGAGCAGGCCGAAGCGGCCGCGCTCTGCTTCCCCCATCACCACCACCACCACCCGTACGATTTTCTTGAATTTCTTGCTTGTGTAAATAACTTTAAACGCATTTTAAAGTAGGTTTCCAATGAAGAAAAGTATTGCAAACTTACACCTGGTAAGTACTCGGAATACCAGAGGTATTTTTCGAAAAATTAGCCCGGATGTCCCAGTAATTTAGTGTAAATGACGTTTAACTTTGACCGGCTATAACCACGTAACTAATTGACCAATCGATCTGTTTTATTTTTTAAAGAAGCCTCTTTCCAATAACTTTTAAAGCCTGTTTTAAAAAATTAGTTTGGATTTAATTCACAAAGTTATTCTAGTTTTTTATATGTACAAAAATTCGACCAATGTTTAAATAAGCGCCAGAGCTCTCCTAATTGACGGATTCGAATCTTTCAAAAAGCGTTTGAAAGCTTGAGAGCCCTTTTATATGTGATTAAATTTTCAAGTATCTAACGGCTTTGGTTTTTGCTGTGCAAAATTTTGAAAATTTTAATTTTTTTTTTCAAAATCTGGATTGCAAAATTATTATGCAAAATCTATAGAACCGATTTGGATGAAATTTGGTGTGATGATTCTACATAACATGAACTTTTCTTGAGCCAAGTATGAAGGTCCTATATCCAAATTAAAGACCCCAAAAAAATTCCCTAAAAAGTAATATTTTTTAACCCCACTTTTGGCGATTTTTTCGATTTTTACAGTAATAATCATGATTCATTCGATTTGTAGCTAGTCATATTTTGTAAAATTCAATTATAAACATTTTTTTCCTCTACCATTTTCGCCTAAAATCAACTCTTGAAAAGATATATATTTAAATAGGAAGAAAAATATGACATTTTTCGAATTTTTTTAACATATTGTGCTGCCAAAAGCTAAGCCCACTTTTTTTTGTATGCGCATAAAAAAATTTTCATTTCTAGTGATATTTGAAAGTCAAAAAGCCAAAAATCTCCGTGGATATACGATTCACCCAAACCAAAACAGATACCGCCTGGTATATTATCGTTTGGAGGCTATATTTCGCATAGGATCTAGCATACCTTCAAGATTTTATGCTAGATTATAATTTTTTGCTTTGTTTCTTTCTACAAACAGTTTGTTCTGTCAAGATTTAGTATTATCCCCCATGTTTTCCCATCACTTATAGTGAGACGGCATTTTCTTTGAAATTTTGATAGCGGTTTGATTGGTGTCCTACGGCAATTTAAAAAAATGAGGAATTAAAAAAAATCTTTTGAAATTAAAAAACCATTTAAGCTAAAGTAATATAAACATAAATTAGCAGCTTGGGGATCGAGGAGAAATAAAAAATAAATAAAACATACTGAAAACAATTTCTTTATTATTTTTTTATAGTGATTTACATAATATCAGCATAACAAAATGTTTGGGAACTATCGACTTAATTCCATTTTCCAATAAAATTTGTGTACAAAATTTTCATTCGCAAGGAACGACACTTATAATATTATTTTGTTACGCTAATTTTTCAAAACAACTTTACTCAAGTTATCACAAAAGAATTTTATTCAAATTCAACTTGTTCTTCACAAAAATAAGGTTTTATAATTAGGATGCTGTGAAAGTATGAAAATTGTATAAAAGAATATTTAAGAAAATTTTGCACAGAAATTTTGTACTTTCTACTTATTGAAAACGCTTCATAATACAATAAGACAAAATTGAATAATGCAAGCAGTGGATGACGTATAGTTTAACTATTTCTGTGATTGAGATAGATCAAATTTGTCTTACAATATTAAATAAATACTTACTTAAAAATCTAGCTGTTATCTAACACACAGATCATGACTTAGAAGAAACTGGTATAAAAATACTATTTTCCTTTAATATCGAATTCAAACCGTCGTAAAATAAATAATAAACAACATAGCGAACCAACAAAAATAAAACACTTTAATCGCGATAATAATTCCAACTTGTTGTCTGTGTGTTTTAAAGGAACATATAAAAAATAATTTCACCACTGAAACCGACCCTGTTTTTCAGCTTCTTTTTTTTTTGGCCCAACATCTGGAGAAAAATCCAGAGTCGGGATAACATAAGGCACCAAGTCAAACAGTTCCTTTGGAACTATAAATAATGTTTTCTTACTGTGTTCTCTTGCGTTAGCGTTCAAAACTTCTAAGAATATGATCCTAACACTGGAACTTACAAAGGCATGTGATACATGGAAGAACCATTGCCGTTAATTTCTTACCAAAATATACCGTTTATTGTCTGAACACTGAAAGTTATGTCAAAGTATTTGCGTTTAATGCGGCAATGCTTCTTTGAAAAATAAATCAATTATGGACAATATTTCATCCAACAAGTAAAAAGAATCTAGTTTAATTTGATCCAATTTTAAACAGAAGTTAATTTTTATGTTGCTGAAGAATCAAAATTCAATTAGTTAGGATTGTTTTTACTTGTCTCTTTTTTGGAAGCCCATTCTGTCTAAATTATGGATAAATATTTTGATGAAATTATTTAGGCTTTGAAATAGGGAAATTTAAAAAAAATGGGTATGGAAATAAGTTCTAACTGTGGGAAGGTTCATAAAATATCGTAAAAATCTTTTAATTTTGTTCTATTTTTCTCGTTTATACGAATAATTATAAAGGAAAATAAAGTTTCTCTATTTATATGCTAGTATGGTAAAAAAACATGGAAAATTACATGTCAAGGAATAAATTTACTTCTGTAAATTATTTTGGTATGCAATGAATCAAAATAAACCAAATATTTTACGAATATTTCCACAATTGTATAACTATAATGAATCTATTCTTAATTTTAGTAGTACTTTCTAGATTGCTTCTAGGGAAAAGGAAAAATTTATTCCGTTAAAAGTAATGAACACCGACATAAGGACACTATAATTTGAGCTTATCAAAATAAACTAATCTAATAATCACAATTACGTTTTTATAAATATTGGATGGCTGATCAATCTCTCACTATAAAAAGATTAAATTATATGGGAAAAGGTGTAATGCGAAATAAACTACAAACTAACGAAAAGGAGAGAAAAAGGTCATGAGATACTATCAATAGAAAATATTTTTATTTTGGAAAAATCACAGTTAAAACTGCAGTCTACACTCTATATTTAGCGCAGCATTTCTAAACGTCCCTATTTGTTTGTAATGAGGTAAGCAGCGTTTCGAATTTCATATAAAAGTACCTCTTTGCAAATACTTCTATATATGTCCTTTACAATAATGGTTTTTGAATAGAATAAGGGTGAAAGTGAGCAAGTGATTCGCAAAGAAGCCTCTTTGTCAGGGAGTCGCATTAAAATATTATCCGAAAAATACTACTGTTGGAATCAATGAAAACAACTACCGGGTTCCAGCCGGTGGAATACCCAAAATGCGGCAGAACTGAGTCCTACGGACTTGACTCCCTGAAGGAGACGATAGAAACACTTAGAAATGTACATAGTCTTTCAACCACTTATGATCTCATGGACACTGTAGTATGTCCCGGTCACGAAACCAACCAGACCGAAACATATGAGGAATAAATTTTTCCATAACCTCCAGTTAAGCCTACCTAGACCGGGCTCCTCGTAATAAGTGACCAGTTCAATGATGGATGGGAAAATCAGGCCCAACATTGACAGACATACGGCTCCTACTAGGGAGATGAAGGCTCCCAAATTCGGGATGAGCACAGCCATGATTACTGTCAAGATTATGAAAACGATTCGGATGCCGTATTCTGCCAACGTTTTTCTGGAACCCACGTTATTTTTTACCGCCTTCCAGATGATCTCCATCGGAACGTAGAACTGCAGGGCATACGTGATGAAGACAGCCAGGGCGATCATGAGTTTCACGGAGTAGGCAAGCCTGAAATTCAAAGTTTGTTAATTTATTATAAAAATCATCACCATCGAGCTTACTTCCTTTAAAATCCAAGGAAAAATACGGAAAGGTATATGAAATATTTTGTAAGTGGAGGATGAAAAAAAAGCACCAAGAATTGATGAAAATTAGGGTTTCTGATTTCTCGGCCTACTTTTTTTCTCGGGTCTCGAGAATTCTCGACTAGGAATTCCCGGGAATTCTCGAATTCTCGAGAAATTTCTAAAACTTATAAAAGTCATAATTTTGGTATTGCAATGAGAAATATAAACATGCTATACAATCATCATTAACATTTATTATTTATTCAGTACTTTTATTAATTACTTAACTTAACTTAAATTAAACTTTGAGTTTCTTCATAAAAACCTTTAACTTGTTTTTTTATTAAACACTTTCAATATACTTATGTTTATTTCAATGCTTTTGAATCGTAGTTTTCTTGCAATAATAATTATTAATAATCATTAATCACGCAGTCTTTTAATTAAATAAATAGTAAATAAGGAATTTAATCGAAGAAAAAAACAAGCTTTAATTTAAAGATACAGAAGCGTTCTTCCTATTAATTTATCACTTATAATCACAATCTTTTAATTAACAAAACAAAAATAAAATAATCAACTAAAGGAACAGGAACTAAATATTTTCATAATCAACATCAACATTAGGTATCTGCTTATAATAAAATTTCTACACATACTTATAACAAGGTACAGGATGATTCACAATATTTTGACCCCCCCTTTAACTTTTTTGTTTTAAGAGTTATAAAAAAATGTGAAATACCAAAGTTGTACGATTTTTGATGAAATTTTCGAATATGAAGTTCAAACAAAATGGCTGCGGATGTTAACTTTGTTAATTTAAATGGAACACCCTGTATATTTTTACACATTTGAATAGAACGTTCCCTGTCGAGCACAGTCATATATGGTTTGTTGGGTCCATCTCTAACAATAAACGAGATAATATTAAAAAACGAAAAGAACGTTTTTTTATTAAGAAAATAAAATATTTTGTAATTGTTGGACGTTTTTCGGGTATTTCCGCCTTTTTCCAATTATGTAAGGATTTAGATTTATTTGCAATATATTTTGGCTTATCGAACATTGATATAGTCCAAAATGGGTATAAGTATTTTAACTAAATTGCACTAATTAATCCGTGAGGGGCTTATTTACTCATGGACAATGTTATATGGTAGGCTGTGACAGTGACAGGTAATATTATGACAACATTGTTATTGTTTGACAGTTTGTATTATTATTTATTTAAAATGGGTTACACAGAAGTACAAAAAAAATTTTAATATAGCAATTAAGATAGAGTAGTTAAGATATTCTCATATTCTCCATAGTTTATTTTAATCCCTAATAATATTTCAATTTTCTACTTCTGTATAACCCATTTTAATTAAATACTAATACAAACTGTCAAATAATAACAATGAAATGGACAACAGACATCTTTATTTTATTCACCATAACTAATATGCTATTAATACCAAATTTCAGTTCAATATATGTTGGTCTTTTAGAGATATTAAGAAAAATTCTTAAAAAAAGTTTGTTTTCAACACCCTATATCTCACAAACAAACCGTTCTAAGATCTACGTTTATAGGAACTTTTCTTAATAAAAAATGAATCTCTATCAACTGTTAAAATCCTACCACAAAAAACTGACTCACCCTGTATATCAAGATGACACTGGAAATTAAAACTGAAATTTCACGCTTTTTTATGCGCTATCAAGCAGGTAGATGTTACAACCGACCAGTCGGCAAGAATACCCTTTCTATGATTCCTTATAGGATTGCACAGTTTTTGAAACTAGAACATCCTCAAACATATACAGGCCATTCATTCCGAAGAACATCGGCAACATTACTGGCTAAACAGGAGTTGATGGGGCGTAGCCACAGTTGCAGAATGTTATGTTGCTGACAGTTCAAGTAACAAAAATGAAATAGCCAACAGGATTCTTTGCACTGACACTTCAACTCCAGATCATGTTGTTTTAATGGATCAGTCAGATAATATTGAATATTCATTCATAATAATTAATAAAATGTAATGTTCGTTATAGATTTTTATTTATTTGTTCATAAAACATGCATTTATAACTCGAAATCGCTTTTTTCCCTAGGGAGGTAAGTGACTTTAGTTACCTCCTTTAAAACAATGTATTAATAGTCTATTTACTATAATAGTGGACCAGATAAAAGCTACTTGTCTTGTTAAAACGTCAAAATGACACATACGAAGCAAAGAAACCAAAAGTTTTGACTATTTTCATCAATTTTGACGCAACATAGAACAGAGGTAAGTTTAATCAAATCTGTATAATTAAAAACTAAAGTCATAATAAATAAAGCTACTTACGGTTCATGTGGCAAGTTGAGAGTGATGCTGGCCTTAGTGTCTTCACCATATTTGAGGTAGCCAAAGAACCCGGTTGAGGCATATAGCACGACGACAAAGAACATTCCAATGTTCAAGACCCCAGGACATCCGATGAAGTGTGTGGGAGTTTTCATGTTATTTTCTAAAGACATAACTACACCGATGCCCTCCAAAGCAAAGATAGCGGTGGCGAAGAAGGCGGGCATTTCGGTGATGGGAGCTACCGCGGGTCTATCGGCCACCGCGGGTAAATCAATGAAAATATAATAGAAGGTTATTCCCAAACCGGTGGCTACTAGTATATTGGCAACCATGGACAAGGGAGAAAGGTACTTCAAATTCCTGATAAGGTTCATTAATATTAGGAAGGGCAAAAGGGCCACCATGTATATACGAGCGTCGATCTCTACATGAAATAATACGTCTACGACTGCCTGTAAGCTGTCGGCGACGAAAACGACGTACACGCAACAGCAGCCGATCAGATCTATAACAAGAAACATGTTTATCATGGCTTTGGCAAATTTTGCCCATGGCCGAATCGATGATGGGCCTGATAAGAAGGCAGCCTCGGCCACTTCAGCAAAACCTAAGGAAGGCACCCTCGTCCTTCTACACAGTTCGTGTGCGCTCTTTACTAAGATGTGAACGCAGTACGTGCAAATTATACCGATACCAAAAGTACAGAACAGGCCCATGAATAGACCTGCACGGGCAAATGCTAAGGGCATGGCAAGTATACCACTTCCCAGACTCCCCTTGAGCAAATGAATCAAGGTGTCCAGATCCCTGAAAAAAATTGCAAGTTGTAACGGAAACTGCTTTATTGATTTAACACTTAAAGACAAACAAGGTGATTCATTTACTTTAACACCTAATGGTTTTCAAATAATCTGGACTCTTATGGCAAGACAGATGTACAGATCACTGCATTATATTGAAAAAGTTGGAAGGGTTTGGTTTTAGTCCTGTTTTAATTAATCTCTTTTCTTCGTATACCAAGAATATAACCTACTTTGTTGCGTTTAATGGATATAAATCTCAACGGCATATTGCCAAGTTCCCTTGTCCCCCAAGGACCTAATTTAGGTCCCTTGTTGATCGAAGTTGATAGTATTTCAGACTTTTTGAGTTTGTAGAATGATCTGAGCAATATTGAAATGTAATGCAAGGAAAATCGCTTGGAACTCAACGTTTCCAAATGTAGTTACTTATACCAGGTAGATTAAAGACTTGATTACTTCATAATAAAGTTGATTCTTAAGCAACTAGGAGTCTTGGTACCTCGCATTGGCTTTTTATCCGCCAAAGGCTAATACAAATTTATTGTTTGTCTATCTAATTTTTGTCATACTCAAATAAATCACCTTTGATAATACATCTATTTACTTACGAGGTAGGATGATCCAATTTACGGTGCTGAAAGGGGTCATAATCTTCTCCCGCTTCGGGATCAGCCTTTTTATAGTCCACCAGAGGTACTGTGGATCCGTTGGCTGACTGTGTCGTTGGCACTTCATTTTTTTCACACTTATAACTGCAAACGTTTCGAATTAGATTTTGGACCTTACCTGGTCTCTTATTAGTAGATGGAGGAAATGTTACATGTATTAGTAAAAAGTTAAAAATAAAAGACTATGGGTAATTTCTCTATTAATCGAACTTGACTGGGGTTGGGACGTGATTCACGATTATGATGACCAAGGAATGTGTTCGGGATCATTTATAGACTCTTTACTTCGTAGATTCCTTATTGTCGCTTCAAAAGACAATAATAAATCTCTTGTTGTACAATTTAAGACAGCATTGAATTGTACACTGCTATGATTTGGCAAGCCCTTTGTGGTGAACCAAAATACTACTTTACTGCTAGGATATGGGAAAACTATAGGAAAAATATCTTTATTTTCTCCTAATAATTCGTAGAAAAGTTATGTAAATCAATAAAAACTATGAATATAAGTTTAGAAGCGATTTTTGTATGAAATATATTTTTATATTTATATAGGGATTAAATAGAGGCGTTAATTATATACAGGGTGTCGGGAAAACAACTTTAGTAAATTTAACAGTGAATTTTTTGCATTATTTCCACCAAAAAAGTTAGTAACTGAGAAAAACGGGTCATAATATTCTCAAAATTGATAACTGCGACTGGATTGTTACATTTTGGATCGAATGAAATTCTGTAAAAGCAGTATTTTTGTTCTGTTTGGTTTTTACGTATTAATATAACGTCACAGGTTACTAAATACGCGATGCACTGAAGCAAGTATTTAGTTTTATGTATCGTGACACTATAAAGGTCCCGAAAGGGGAGAGAGGGGGTGGTGATAGAATGGGGATGGGCGTGTGAAAGTGTAAAAATAAAAAAAATAATTACTTTCAGCAACTGAAGAAAGGAATAAAACTTGAATTTCAAAGTCTAACATACTGTTTTTTTCTGAACAAAAAGAGGTACTTTTGTAATTTAGTAAGTATAGTAATTGTACCGTTGATAGTCCAAGAATTCCGCAGCTCCTCAGCACACTCAACCACATCTCATGCGGTATCGGCATACTTCTAGCAGCTCCGGTAATAAGTAGCCAATAATCTTACAAAACTATCAAAATATAATCAAAACAACACTATCTAAACCATGTATAAATGCATGACACCCTAGGATATTTGCACATCGAATACGGGTAACACGACTATGGTAGAATATGATTAGTATAAAACGTGGCGTGGCAAATAAAGATAAAGATTCCACCAAATATAAACCAAAACTTGGCCAGACCTGCAGCTTTACTTACTCCATCTGTGTGCGCGATATCTTCATTCCACAGGTCGTGAATTGCATTGCCTGTGACTGTATCTTCAACTGCAGGTGCTTATCTAGGGTTATAGGTACCAAATATCAAATACGAATCATGGATAGGTCATAACAAGAACTTTTCACTACCCTTTTCAATGTTTCAATACGCCTCAAGGTTTATTAATGAAACCTATGTCCTCAAGAATGACATTGAATGATAGAATCTGGTTAAATTAAAGTAATTTGACTGTGTTCAGAATTTTAGAAAAGCTTTCGAATAAATAAATGGACAATACTGAGAAAAATACTGACCAAAAAAAAAATGTATTTTAATCTTGTTCTATATCTCATATCATAAACAAGTCTTCTACAAGTTATAGAAATTAAAAACACTAAACAGAAGTGGATAAATTATAAACACGTTAATTAAATTAGTTGTCATTTTGCTATGACCTTTCTGTGTCATCAAGTGCTAATAAATTATAACTAAAGCGTGTGATTTTGGTACTTATCCCCTACAGAACAATCTTCATCAAGTAATATATTATTTTTTATATAAAAAGGGACCTGTTCATAGAGGACCAGTGGTTTATACAGGGTGAAAGAATAAATAGAGGAAAAAGCGCCCTAACTATATTGCCCGCAAATATACATGGTTTTTAAAATTAAGTATATATAAAAATTTTAATATCCAATCACCAAGTAATAATAGGAGAATATCTTTTAAAAATTATGTTGTTGACATTATATTAAACTAAATTATTTGAATACCTTCATAAGAAGCATTGTGATGTTCGATGAATGAACGTATTTTTGGGGGATCGGAGCTTTTATTACTTACTTAGACATCACTACTGTGTTCACACCACCGTTTTTCTGATCGAGCTGGGCTATAATTTGAGGCTGGAACAAAAAAATGAATGTCAGGAAAACAGAAAACGCCTAAACACGATTATATGTATAAAGAAAATACAAAATAATCTTCCTAAATACTAAGCAAAAGATAATTCTAGATCACCCCGTATATCTCACAGTAAAATACACGTTTCACTTGACAAGATGGTAAAGTCGATGAATACTTCCATAGTTTCTCTAGTATCAGCGTCAGTTACAAATTTCTAACGGGGAATTTTGAGATTTAAGCGCTTGACGCCACTTTTTGCTTTCATCAGTTCAAATAAGGCATGTTCCAGTACAGAGTGACGCAATATTTGTTTTTTTGGGACGGCTCCCAACAGTACACAGTAGAAAATAATTTGTAGTGTGTCACAGAATATATGTAAAACGTAGTTCATTGCAGGCAGGTAAATGACCCCTTTGACACTCCTATACAATACCCATTCAAACCATTATTGCTATAATAGCTCGACGTTGTGCGCCGCAGAAACGAATAAACTTTTTAGAAGGAAAATGCAACGTTGCATTTTCAACTCGCAAGGCTCACTATGAGGTAGATAAAAGCAAAAACGTATGTGCAAATTGTACTGTGTTGATGTGTCGCTGCCTTCGTTATCGTTTTTGTGGAAACGATTTTTTAATTGCAATTTTGTGTGACGTAAATCATTATGTCTACTCAAAAAAATTTCTAAATTTACCTCGTATCTGACGACGTACGATAAATTTCCGTTCCTGTCCTCTTGAAAACTTGTTTTGACTGTATTAATGAAAACTGATTGATCTGTTTACAAGATCCTCAAACAGTACCGATGCACATTCTCTCATTCTAGTATCGAACAAACATTAGTTATGTTGTTTTCCACCCAAACTTATTGATTGAAGCCCTCTCGTATCATCTCAATTTATTTGAATCCCAAGGAAACGATTGGATCCAAAAATTCATTGAAACAGAATCCATGGTATTGGAAAAGAACATCATCAAAATATCAAGGAATCAAAGAAATGGAAGTCAATGATGAATGGTTAAAAAAACTCCAATTATAGTGTCATCAATCTTCATATTTAGATTTGCTTGCGTGTGTGTCGTTCGATATATAATTCGTGAATTGGCAAATTTGCCTTTTCCGCCCGGCGTAATTATTATTTTATGGGCCCTCCAACTTATCTGTTAACGTTCATTGGATGCAAAAACAAAGTGGTTAAACAAACATATACATCGCGTCAATTTTAATAAATGCAATTGAAGAAATTGTATATTATTATGCGGCGTATCCTTTTTGCAACTGTTAAAAATAGACTGGTGGGCATTTTATTATCCTTTGGATTAATTTAATAATCATGAGGAAGAATCCTCATGATTTCCTTGTATTTTCCTTCCAAATATTCCAAAATTGATTTGGCATTAATAATTATTAAACAGTTTAGGGAAAAGAAAAATATATTAACCAAAATCCTTAGCTCAACTTAAATTGACATATTTATTTACATTTTAATCCGCGATATAGCTTTAGTGGTTGTAAAGTCATTTTATTGGAAATAAAGTTAAATCACACAAATATAAATTCGGGGACCGTCGCGAGACTTGCTGTTATTTTCTATTTTGAGGTCTAGAATGAGTTGTCCGACCTGGTTAAGAGTAAACAAAGCACTTTGGGACACCGACTCGAAAGAAAAACTACACGCTGCTTAACCTTGTCCCATTTAAATCTTGGCTGAATTTATTACATGTCATCTACATTAAAAATCAAATAAATGATTACGCGTTAGATTGGTGTTAACAGGAATAAAATTGTCCCGACCTCTGTCAGATTTACTTTATGATTTAAATTAAAATGTCCTGATTTATACCCGCGGAAGCTTCCAGATGGTTCTCTTACGTTTGTGTCTAATCAGAGCAACATAATGTAATAAAAATTATACCTAAGCTTTCATATTATTTACTTCCCCCACAACCAATTTCATAGACTCATTCTAAGAATTTGGAAAGGTGTGATTTTGTCTGTATAGGTTAATGTTAATAGCGTACATTCGATTTTGCATGGAATATTTTTATGACACTGATAAACCGTTAGTTACCGCATACTGTGAAGCTTATCAGAGAGTGTGGCATATGGAATGGGCTTATCTAGTTGCTAAACAACGTAGCGAAGGTAAATAAAACACGAACACCGTAAAATTACTTGATGGAAGACGTATAGAAACGCTAATAGCGAGTGAATTGCTCCCTTGGGATGTTTTGATTTGTTCAGAAATCTGATTGGAAGAGTAGGATCCATATCATGGCCATCTAGATTACCAGATCTGAGTCCATGGACCTTCTTTTCTGAGACAGCGACTTAAATCGTTACTGCTCTGACTCGAAGGAAATTTGCGTGCGATAGTCGGAAACTGGATTTATCCACTAAGTATACCTAATCTTTCAATAAAGATACTGCGTTTCCTAAAAACATGACTTTATTTAATATCTGATTAGATTGCATAAACAAATACCTCATGAGTCACTGTCATCAAACTGATAACCAGGACCAAATTAGAAACTTAATCGTGTGAGATGGGCGCCCCTGCGAATTATCATAACGATTTCCTTGATGCGCCAAAACGTCGGAAGTCTCGGATCTATTTTTATACGCGATTGGCCGAGTAACGTGAAATTGGCTAAGGACAATTCATGCACGTGTATATCGACAATTAGACGGGTCAAAGATTTCATTGAGGTTCACAGTTGTGAGCAGTAGACTTGTTAGTGATTCATAACCGGTCTATGATATGTTCTGTTTCAATGACAGAGTGGAAAAGTTTTTAGTTTGGAATTTGTTCGACCAAAGAGAAGATTCGTCGAATGACTCGTGTCTTGCGTTTATCAACAAGGAAGATAAGAAAACCGGGAATAGGGAATTTTTGTTTCAAGAGTTACTGAAATGTTCTAGTCAAGGTTCATCCATAGCTAAATAGAGTCTAACTAAGAAAGATTGTCATCATTTGATTACGAACGTAACTGAAGGAAATTATATCTCTGAAATGTTGATCTGTTAATCTACTGTAATCTGTTACAATAGATTTAAGAAATTCCCTAATTTTATATTTCTACTCTAAATTAAATCACCAAATAATGACCTAAATAGATTATTTCATATTTTTAACTACCACTTCTTATGCATGTGAGTGGGATATATAAGATTCCTTTTACATGAGTCCATCAAAGACTGGCGAACCACCACAAGAAAAACGACGCCAAAAATGTGGCAAAATCGCCCACCTACTAGATTTCCCAATGTTTACAGTGGCGATAAAAATGTTGCGCTTGCAACATGCATATTGTTTAAAATCTTCTTATTTGGAACTGTTCCAGAAAACGTGTGCCCAAAGCAGCATAAATATGTTTCCAATTGACAACCAGTGGGAAGATAAATGTATTATATATGGCCAAATCTCCGCGTGATATTTTCGAGCCTCTTAAGTGCAAATCAATGACTTAACGGTCTATGACGAGCTGCAAAAGTTATGTGTAATTCATTTTCATAATAAGATTTGGTTTCATTCGCAACATGTAACTGTGTCGTGTTTGTATAGGTATGTAAATAAATACGTAGTTACAAAGCTGTTATTATTTGTTATTTATGTTTCCAATACCTTATTGAAGTAGGTATTTTATTAGCCGTAAAATTTTATTTCCTTTACATTTTTGCTTGTCGTTTGTAGGAAAACTCCTCGGACTAACGAAATAAAAAAAGTTTCGATACAAGGACCCGCAATTTGGCAAAAAATGTCCGACTTTCTCTGCTTTGTTCTATTATTACCCAGTTGCGTCTAAATTTTATAACATGAAGTATGGAATTTCATTAACTTGGAACTATAGGAACTTTACTGTGGATTTTTATGCAAAAAGACATGACAATTCAATAAATGGGGAGGAGAAAAACAATGCTTTCACCGAGCCACAAAAGTTTTTAACAGTTTAAAATATTCTTTTGGTGCATCACAATGTATTGCATTTCTTTTGTTATTCATTAGAAAGCTTACGACTCATTACAAAGTTGCAACCCTTAAAAACTATCCCTTATAATAAAATAAACAAAAAAATATTATTGAAAGCTTTAGATGTTTTAATGGTATGCATATGTTGAATTATAAACTTTTTATTGGTTTTCAAATGATCTATGATATATTGCAACTTTTCAGCCACCCACAAAAACCCTTATGGAAGACCTACTCCTCATAAAAAACCCTACCCCTTATAGAAAAATTTCCTAAAAATTGTATGCGAGTATGATGATATAATTAATTTCCCTAAATAAGGGGCTCAGGAAAGGCAGTCTTGGAGCTTAGTTTTGAGCTGCTAATGGTCATAACTCAGTCAAATTTTGTCCTACAAAAATTAAAAAAAAAACAAATTCTTTCATTTTTTTTAAACTGTTAATTTTTGAAATATTTCGAAAAAAGGCAATTTTTTAAAAAATTTAAAAATTTTATTCAAAATTAAATGAAATATTTTTTTTAGGCTTCCAAAATCGTTCAAATTCCCAGCATCTATTGTTAATTCATAAATAAAGTAAATTGCAGAAGGAATAAGTTTAATTTTTTTTCCGTCAAGTCATTAATTTTAATACTCAAAAATCAAGATAAATCATTTTATTTTGAATATAATTATAGTTTTCATACTAATGACTTTTACTACCACTCAATTTAAAGGTCTTTTGAAGAACTTTAATAATTAATAATAATTTAGTTTTCCTCGAAAAACCTTTAATTTTTCCGCTACAGGACGTTGGATGTTTCGATTATAGTTATCTTCGAAATTGACTTCAACTTCTGGGAGTCATAACTCGGGTTCTATACCACCTACAAACATAAAAAAAGCAATCTCTTTGCTATTTAATTACCTTCATTTTTGCTTATGATCACTTTTTTGATAAAACTTATAGTTTTTGAGATATACTCGAAAATATGGCTCAAAAACATGCATTTTTTGGGCTAAAAACGAACATGTTTAGGCGCAAATAACTCAA